TTCCCAGAAAATTTTGAGAATACAATACTGTTATTTTTCAATTTCCATTTTACACTAAAGTAAGTTAGTGAAATGGTGAAAGGAGGTAGGCGGGGCTAAATTTAGCTTTTATCTAGTTTTATGAGCAAGCAGTAGCCACGCCTACCCACCCTTTCTTCGTTCCAGAGACTACTCTTAATATTGTTCAGTCCTATCTTAGCAAGTTTTAGCCCCGCCCACCCCTTTTTTTCTTAAAGGATGTCATTTACCAAAATCAATCCTATTTTAACAAGTACTAGCCCGCCCACCCGTCCCCTATTTTCTTAGAAGGTGTGTCATTTACCAAAATTTTTTGATCTTTTTTCAATTGACATCCACCTTTCATTCGGACCAGATCAAATGAATCACTGAAATGGAGACGGGGTGGGTGGGCAGGGTGAATTATACGTTCTTTTGTAAAGTGAGGATGGGAACTAATAGAACGTAAACTGTGAAAAAAGCGTCAGTCGAATTTTTTTTTTGTTACTTATTTGCTATAACATTTTTTTCTTATTTCTGAAGATGAAAACTGAGAGAACGGGTGGGTGGGCGGGACTAAATTTAACTTTTTCCCACAGAATGTTTTAGACTCAAGCAATAGCCCCGCCCACCCACCCCCTTTTCATTCCAGGGATTATTGATAATATTGTTCAGTCATTTCGCAAAATCCGCCCTCTATTTTCTTAGGGGGTATGTAATTTGCCACAATCAGTCTTATCGTAAGTACTATACTGTACCAATCCAAGTTGATATACGTGTCCTTACAAAAATCTTTATGACGCCATCAAAAAATTGTACCTCAGAAGCGAGGGAAGTTCTGTGGAAACAACTTTCGCCGAATTTTTTTGGCACGTTTTTGTGATCTTTTTTCGTTTGTATTTTGTGCCGTTTTTTTGTCTTTTTTAAGTTGCCTTCTCGTGGTTTTTTGTTGCTTCTTTTTTTTTGTTATCTGTCATCTTTTGATTGCCTTTTTGGTAGCTTTTTAACAGTTTTTTGTAGATTTTTGTCGCTTTTTTGTGGCATGTCTGGCCCCTTTTTGAAACCCCTTCTTGAGGCCACTTTTATCCCTTTTTTTAATCGCTTTTTATTGCTTGTTTGGTTACTTCTTTGTTTCTTGTTCCCCTTTTTGGTTTTTGTGCTTTTTTGACACTTTTTTTGGGTTCCTTTTTGTTGCCTTTTTCGTTGTTTTTCAGCTTTTTTTGTTCATTTTATTCTTACATTGGTTGCTTTTTGCATTTCTTTTCGACTTTTTTTTCCTTTTTTTGCTGCCATATTTTGGTCGTTTTCATTTCTTGTTGGAGTTCTTGGTACCTTTTTTAACCTTTTTTCCCCTTGCGTTTTCGTCCCTTTTTTTTCTTGCACTCTTTTGTCGCTTTTTTGATCTTTTTATCGCTTTTTGTTGTATTTTTTTACACTTTTTTCGGTTTTTTACCGTTTTTTTGTCATATTTTTGTATTTTGGCATTTTTTTGACGATGTTTTTGTTTTATTGGCATTTTCTGTGGGCTTTTTTTCCATTATTTTTTCCTTGTCCTTTTTGGCATCTTTTAGTCAGTGTTTTGTCACCTTTTCTGTTGTTTTTTCGTACGTTTTTTTGACACTTTTTAGGCGCCTTTTTTTTCACTTTTCTATTGGCTTTTTTTTCACTTTTTTTGCAGGGTTTTTTGGCGCGTTTTTTTGTCGTCTGTTTTTGTGGGTTTTCTTGGCCTTCTTTTTTTTGGCCGTAATTGCTTTTTTAAGGCCATTTTTTTAACTTTTTCGTCGTCATTTTTGTCACTCTTTGGGTTTCTGTAGCGTTTTTGTTCTACTTTTTTGTAGTTTTGGCGCTTTTTTAACGTTTTTTATCTCCGTTTTGTCGCCCATTTCGTCGTCTTTCTTGGCCCTTTTTTGTTGGATTTTTAAATAATCTCTTTATCTGTAATATATATTTTAGTAAACTTCTCTTTTGTCGCGTTTTTGTTCCCTTTTTTCGTATCTTTTTTTGTCGGCTCTTTTTTTCTAGTGTTTTTTTTTGTGCCCTTTTTAATAGTTATTTTCACATTTTTTTAGTCCTTTTTTCTGTGGGTTTTTTTATTATCAACTTTCGATGTCTTTTTTCCCCCTATCTAGCCTTTTTTTGTAATCTTTTTTCGTTTCCTTTTTTTTATTGCCTCCATTTTGTGGTAATTTTTTTTTAGTTGATGTTTTCTTATCGTTTTTATCATTCTTTTTTCTCTTCATCGTTTGTGGCTTTCTTCTTTGTTCTTTATGTCGCCTTTTTTGTCGTCTCTTTTTTAATGGCCACTTTTACAGTTTTTTAACTACTTTTTTGTCGCTCTTTTTATGGTCACTTTTTAGCGTTTTTAGCTATTTTTTGCCACCCTTTTATTTTTTTGCCGCATTTTTTTTGCCTTTTTTTTCCGCAATTTTTGTCTCCCTTTTTTGCATTTTTTTGTCCCGCTTTTTTTTTCCGCCTTTTATTTTCGTCTTTTTTGTGCCTTTTTTGTTAGTTTTTTTATCGATTTCTTTGTTGTCTCTTCGGTCGTTTTTTTGTCACATTTTGTCCCCTAATTTTTGGCCGCTTTTTTTGTAGCTCTTTCTTAGTTTTTCCGCCCTTTTTGTTATCGACTTTTTTGGTTCGGTTTTTGTCTTTTTTTTTTAGTGGCGCTTTTTTTATTGCCTTTTTTTTGTCCTCCTTTTTTTCTCGCCATATTTTTTTGTGGCTTTTTTGGTTGATTCTTTTTTTGTCGCTTTTTTTTTATACCTCTTTTTTTTAGTGTTTTTACTGCCTTTTTTTCGCCTTTTTTTTTCGACTTCGTTTTTTATGGCTTGTTGTTTTTTTTTAATTTTTTTTTGGGACTTTTTTTCTTGATTTTTTTTGTGGCTCTTTTTTGTGTTTTTTGTGTACTACATTTTTGGTCGCGTTTTTTTTCGACTTCGTTTTTTCTGGCTTTTATCTGCCAATTCTTTTTGTCGCCTTTTTTTGATAGTTTTTTGACATTGTTTTTTTACGCGTTTTTGCCCCTTTTTTGGTAGTTTTTTTTTTAGTATTTTTTTTATTGCCTTTATTTTGTCGTCACCTTTTTATCGCTTCTTCTACCCCTTTTTATAGTTTTTTTTGTTGTGTTTTCTTCGTCGTCTTTTTGTGGCTTTTTTGGTCTTTTTCGTGGCTTTTTGTGACTTTTTGTCGTCTCTCTTATCGCCCTTTTTTGGTCGCGTTTGTTGTCATTTCTTTCCATTGTCTTTTTTGGTCCCCCTTTTTTGTCGATTTTTTTGTCCGTTGTCGCTTAAAAGTAAAATTTACAAATTCAAATTTTATAATTTACCTAAGAAACTCGAATTTGTTTGTAAAAAAACAAATTCAAGTACTTCAGGAGCAAGTAAGTTCTATCTAAATATTTTTAGGGGAAGTTCTCAGCACAGCACAGCATGTAGAATACGAAAGCGTGTACATACATATAGTTAGATATCTATTAAAAATTAGAGTGGAAACACTTTGAGAAGAACACACCAACAAAATGTCTTAGGTTTTTCGTAGTTTTTCATACTTTAAACAAGCATTACAGCTATGTATCTCAGAACTAAAAAAAAATGTGAAAATAATTTTTAAAATGTTCTTATAATCACACTTACGTGTCACTTATCTGATAAAAAAACATGGCGGATTTCTTTAAAATTTTTGGTATTTAATTAATTAACATTGATTTGTGATTACACAAGATTAACAAAATTTTTATATACGCACCTTCTATTTTTTTTTTCTTTTAATAGTTCTTTGGAACCGTTATAATTTTTTTCAAGTGGAAATGCGATGAGAAGAACATACGTCATCAGAACGTCATTTACGTTTTGACCAGTGGCGTATCACTTGTTTTGAAATGGGGATTGAAAAACTACGAAAAACCGTGAAGGAATCACAAAACATGTTGAAATTTAAGAAGTTTTTCACTATTAATCGCTAAATATATTCCAACAAAAAATTCAATTAAAACTTTGTAGCAATCAAAAAAAATTACGACCAATCCGTGAGAAAATCCGCCGTTTCACTACAACCAATTTTCGCCATTTTTACGACCACTATTCCAGATATGCGTAATACGGCCGCATAAAAGCAGCTTTATGTCTTCATATTGCACATTATAGCCCATTTCCGCAACGCGATTCCGTCACCGGATCAGACTCCACCTCGCCCCCGACAAAAAATCCCCCCGACCGGCCTTGGTAAAAATCGCGCGCGTACGTGCACTTTTCCAGAAATTATCGACACAGAACGCTAATTATCATGCACACGCCGTGTCCGGATGCGGCCGCCGACTCGGCTTTCCACCAGACTCGACTTCCGTCCGTCGGCGTAGACCGCCACTGTCAGCGCCGCCGAAAATCCCAAATTTACGATCTCCTCCAACTGTGCACGCCGTGACATAATTACAGTCCATCGCCATATTTCTCCTACTTGTTAACAAACTTTCATTTCGTCGCCGCCGAAGCAATCCGTCCATCGGGTATCAACGCGCCGCTTTACGACCGAAATGAAACATTTACGACGGGCGGAGTTGTAGAGGGCGCTGCTAGTTTTTTTCAAATAGAATATAATATAACAGAACCAAGGTAAGTTGGCTGTGTCACGTAGATGGTCGATGTTCGGTGTTTGAGTGACGTCACTCTTGCACTCCGAACGTCGTAGCGTCTACATCCGACGAACGCTGTTCGAGCTCGGCGATCTAACGGTGAGGCAAGTCGAGTTACCTTGGCACAAAGCAGTCTTCTTTCAGCTCCGCCATGTTGCTCTGGTGCCCAGTTGTTCGGTTTTAGTGGTTTAGTTTGATCAAAATGCAGTTCGACATGCTGGTCAACGTCTTTAGGAGCGCCACTGGTAGGTCGTAGGGCGGCGGGTGGGGGCGCTAGGTCCGATTCGACTTAAGTCACATTACTTAGTGTCGCAAAAAACTGCACATCCTTGCCATTTGCGTTCGGGTCACGGTTGCTGAGTTTCGAGGGTTGCAGGTGCACAGTCGAGCCCGATCATGCCCGGTGGTGCCGCCCCTGGCACGCCCTCCGCCAAACAGAAGGAGAAGGCGCTAGTGCGGACGAAGGTTGTGGTGGCCCTGTACAACTATAAGGCCATCGAGAGCGGCGATCTCTCGCTGGAGAAGAACCAGGAGTACGAGGTGATCGACGACTCGCAGGAGCACTGGTGGAAGGTCAAGGATGCGAAGGGGTGAGTCGACCGGGTGGCGGGGTGAGTGTGCTAAGGGTGTTTTCTTCGCAGGAATATCGGCTTCATTCCGAGTAATTATGTCAAGGAGAAGGAGCTGCTGGGGTTGCAGCAATACGAGTAAGTTGCGGTTTGGGGGTTGAGGGTTGATTTTGTGGGTTTTGCGTGCAGGTGGTACGTCAACGACATGTCGCGGCAGCGCTCGGAGTCGCTGCTGAAGCAGGAGGACAAGGAGGGGTGCTTCGTGGTGAGGAACTCGTCGACGAAGGGGTTGTACACGTTGTCGCTATACACGAAAATGTGAGTTTTATTTTATTGTTTTGAGTGTGGCCATCAAAAAAAGTGAAGGTGACGAAAAATTTCTGATGAACTTATAAATATTCATAGTTGCAAAATTAAGGTTGTGAACTTTCGTTTTTTTCAAAAATCAGGAAGAATTCGGAATACCTGTTTTTTATTTAACGAAAATATCACATCTTTGGAAAAAGTCGTCTAGTAGACCATGAGATTTATTTTTAAAATAATGATGTTGGTACAGCAGCTGTTTGACACTTGATTTGAAGTTATTTGACCGTAACTGTCAACCAAACAAGGAACGTGCTAGTGTTGCCAACATATTTTTTTTACATTAAATTCCAGTGGTTGCTGGACGACATTTTTTTCAATCATGTGGTTCTGGTTATTTAGTTGTGACACTTTCCAAACCTTGAAGATTTCATTAATTAAATCTTGGTGTTATTTTATAAAAATTGCAAAACCACGCATCTATTAAATAATTAAAAAAAAAATAAATTGGGGGTCTCCTATTTGTTTTTAGTGGCTTTTTTAATTTTTTTTGTTTAATTGCTTTTTGGCCGTTTTTTTGTCGTCTTATTTCGTCCCTTTTAGTCGTCGTTTTTTGTCTCTTTTTTTACTAACTTCTTTATCGCTTTTTGTGACTTTTATTACGTTCGTGACGCCTTATCTTCTGCTCTTCTTTGGTGAGTTTTTTGTTGCTTTTTTGACTGTTGTTTTTTGCCGCCTAAAAGGAAAATTCGCAAAAACAAATCTTTTTTTTTCGCTAAAAATATCAAACTTTTGTTGCGTATTTTATGTTGTTTTATTTGAATGAGAAACGGGAAAAACAGTGTTACAAACGCGAGTCAAGTTTAAAAAATTGAAAAATAAAAAAATCGAGTTAAAACGCTGAAGAAACGAAAAATGCGAAATTTAGAAACGCCAAAAATTGAAAAAGTAAAAAATTGAAGGATGGAAATTATTGAAAAATTCCAAAACTGAAATATCAAAACATTGATAAATCGAAAAATTGAAAATCGGAAAATCGAGAAGTCGGCAAACCGAAAAATTGGATTGAACAAGGAAGAATCGAGAAATCGAAGAATCGGAAATTTAGAAACGTCAAAAAGTGAAAAATTGCAAAACTGAAACATTGAAATATTGAGATATCGAAAATTTAAAAAATTGAAAAATAACCAGAAAAATCGAGGAGTCGAAAAATTGAAATGTCAAAAACCTGTAAAATCGAAAAATCTGTTAGTTGAAAAATTAATCAAGTAATTGAAATTTAGAAACGCCAAAAATTGGAAAATCAAAAAATTGAAAAGCTGTAATTTGAGAAATCGAAAATTTGAAATATCGAGAAATTGGAACGAAAAATTGAAAAATCTCAAAATTAAAATAAATATTGAAAAATTGAGAAATCAAAAAGTGGAAAAACAAAAACCGAAAATTTATAAAATTGAAAAATCAAAAACTTGAAAATTTGGAAAATTTAAAATAGGGATATCAAAAAGTCTAAAAATCGAGTAATCGATAAGTTGAAAAATCGAGAAATTGAAAACTTAGAAACGTCAAAAATTGAAAAAAATATTGAAAAATTAAGAAGTCAAAAATTTTAAAAATTGAAACATAAAAAACCTGAAAAATCGAGAAGTCGAAAGGTCTCGAGTCGAAAAATTGAAAAACCGAAAATTTTTAAAATTGAATTGAAAAACTGCGAGTTTGGGAAATCGATAAGTTGAACAATCGAGAAATTGAAAATTTAGAAACGTCAAAAATTGAAAAATCGAAAAATTAAATAATCGAGAAATCGAGGATTTGAAAAATCCAGAAAAGCTAAAAATTGAAAAATCCCAAATCTGAAACATTGAAATATTGAAAAGTTAAGAAATCGAAAATTTAAAAAATTGAAAAATAAAAAACCTGAAAAATCGAGAAGTCGAAAAATTGGGAATTGGGAAAATCAGAAAGTCGAGAAATCGAAAAGTTGAAAAATCGATAAGTTGAAAATTTGAAAAATCGAGAATTGGAGCAAAAAATTGAAAAATCCAAATTGACAAATCGAAAAATTGAAAAATCGAAAATTTAAAAAATTGAAAAATCAAAAACCTGAATATTTGAAAAATCGAAAAAATAGGGAAATAGGAAAATGAAAAAGTCGAAAAATCGAATAATCGAAAAGTTGTAAAATTGAAAATTCGAAAAATAAGTAACCTGTAAAATCAAAAAATTAAATTGAAAAATTGCGAGTTTGAGTAATCGAGAAATTGAAAATTTAGAAACGTCAAAAATTGAAAAATCGGAAATTTGAGAAATCGAAAAATTAAATAATCGAGATCGAGGATTTGAAAAATCGAGAAATTGAAACGAAATATTGAAAAATCGAAAAATAAAAAACCTAAAATCGAAAATGTAGAAACGCAAAAAATTGAAAAGCTGTAATTTGAGAAATCGAAAAATAAAATCGAGAAATTGGAGCGAAAAATTGAACAATCTCAAAACTAAAATAAATATCGAAAAACTGAAAAACCGAAAATTTATAAAATATCTAAAAATCGAGTAATCGAAAAGTTGAAAAATTGAATTGAAAAACTGCGAGTTTGGGAAATCGATAAGTTGAAAAATCGAGAAATTGAAAACTTAGAAACGTCAAAAATTGTAAAATCGGAAATTTGAGAAATCGAAAAATTAAATAATAGAGAAATCGAGGATTTGAAAAATCCAGACATTGAAGCGAAAAATTGAAAAATTAAGAAATCGAAAATTTAAAAAATTGAAAAAAAAGAAACCTCAAAAATCGAAAAGTTGAAAAATCGAGAAATCGAAAATTGAAATGTCAAAAACCTGGAAAATCGAAAAATCGATCAATCATTCAAGTAATCGAAATTTAGAAACACCAAAAATTGAAAAATAAAAAAATCGATAAGTCGAAAATTTGAAAAATCGAGAACTTCGAGCGAAAAATTGAAAAATCCAAATTGAGAAATCGAAAAATAGGGAAATAGGAAAATGAAAACGTCGAAAAATCGAGTAATCGAAAAGATGAAAAATCGAAAAATCAGTAACCTGGAAAATAAAAAAATTAAACTGAAAAACTGCGAGTTTGAGAAATCGAGAATTTGAAAATTTAGAAACGTCAAAAATTGAAAAATCGGAGATTTGAGAAATCGAAAAATTAAATAATCGAGATCGAGGAGGTGAAAAATCGAAAATTCAGAAACGCCAAAAATTGAAAAGCTGTAATTTGATAAATCGAAAAATTGTGAAACCGCAAATTTAAAAAATTGAAAAATAAAAAACCTGAAAAATCGAGAAATCGAAAATTCAGAAACGCCAAAAATTGAAAAATCAAAAAATTGAAAAGCTGTAATTTGATAAATCGAAAAATTGAAAAATGAAGAAATTGGAGCGAAAAATTGACATCGAAAAGTCAAAAAATTGAAAAACCGAAAATTTAGAAAATTGAAAAATCAAAAACTTGAAAATTTGAAAAATTAAAAAAACGAGAAGTCGAAAAATAGGGAATAGGAAAATCAAAAAGTCAAAAAATCGAGTAAACGAAAAGTTGAAAAATTGAAAAATCGGAAAATTTAAGAATTGAAAAATCTGTAACCTGTAAAATTAAAAAATTGAATTGAAAAGCTGCGAGTTTGAGAAACCGATAAATTGAAAAATCGAGAAATTGAAATTTTAGAAATGGAAACATTGAAAAATCTCAAAACTGAAAAATCGAAAATTTAAAAAATTGAAAAATAACCTGAAAAATCGAGGAGTCGAAAAATCAATCAAGTAATCGAAATTTAGAAACGCCAAAAATTGAAAAATCAAAAAATTGAAAAGCTGTAATTTGAGAAATTGAAAACTAAAAAAATTGATATCTCGAAAATTTGAAAAATCGAGAAATTGGAGCGAAAAATTGAAAGATTCCAAAACTAAAATAAATATCGGAAAATCAAAAAGTCGAAAAATCCAGTGATCGAAGAGGTGATGAATTGAAAAATCGGAAAATTGAAGAATTGAAAAGTCAGTAACCTACAAAATCAAGCAATTGAATTGAAAAGCTGCGAGTTTGAGAAATGGAAAATTTTAAAAATTGAAAAATAAAAAATCTGAAAAATCGAAAAGTTGAAAAATCGAAAAATTGAAATGTCAAAAACCTGTACAATCGAAAAATCAATAGGTTGAAAAATCAATTAACCAAATAATCGAAATTTAGAAACGCCACAAATTGAAAAATCAAAAACAAAAATCGAAAAATTGAAATATCAAAACATTGATAAATCGAAAAAATGAAATGTCAAAAACCTGTAAAATCGAAAAATTGACAGGTTGAAAAATCAATTAACCAAGTAATCGAAATTTAGAAACGCCAAAAATTGAAAGATGAAAATATGTAATTGGAGAAATCGAAAAATAAAAAATCGAGAAATCGAAAAATAAAAAAATCGAGACATCGAAAATTTGAAAAATCCCAAAACTAAAATAAATATCGAAAAAGTGAAAAATCAAAAACCTGAAATTTTGAAAAATTCAAAAAAACAGAAGTCGAAAAATAGGGAAAGTTGAAAAATCGAGTAATCGAAAAGTTGAAAAATCGAGAAATTGAAAATTTAGAAACGTCGAAAATTGAAAAATCGGAAATTTGAGAAATAGAAAAATTAAATAATCGAGAAATCGAAGATTTGAGAAATTGAAGCCAAAAATTGAAAAATCCCAAAACTGAAACATTGAACTATTGGAAAATCGAGAAGTCGAAAAATCGGGAAATGGGAAAATCAGAAAGTCGAGAAATTAAAAAATTGAAAAGTTGTAATTTGAGGAATCCAAAAAAAATCGAGAAATCGAAAATTTGAAAAAGCGAGAAATTGGAGCGAAAAATTGAAAAACCAATAATTAAAAAAATTGAAAAATCAAAAACCTGAAAAATCGCATAAACGGACAAATTTTGAATAACAATTTACCATACTTCCAATAATCTTCAAATGTTTGCAAGATTTAATAGTATTTGGTTTTGCATTTTCAAAGTTAAACTGCAAACTCTTGCCATACAAATAATTTTAAGGAACATTTTAACAAAATATGTTTGTCTAGATTCTAAAATTAGTAGATGTCAAAACATCTAAACGGATCCAATTGCGAATTTAAAGAGGGACACTATATACACGCGTTCTTCTCACAGTATTTCGACTGTACTAGGCTACTTGTAAAATGCAGATAAAAAATCATGTTGCTATGAAAAACGATGCGATTTTTTCATAACATTTCCCAAATAATAAACCATTTATCTGTTAAATCAATTAAAAAAAATAAATAAATTGAAGGTGCATGACAAAGTATTGCTAGAATGAATAAATCTTGGACCGGGCTGGGTGTGAAACCATGGGTCGTTTAAGTTGAGTAACCAGAACAAGTTCAAAATCAATTATAAATTAGATGTACAGGGTGGTGAGTGCTTCTGAAATACAGCGATTTTTTATTGGCAGTGGCTTCGTAAATTTTTGGTTTAACAGTCTGATTCTCGTTATTTTTTTGAAAATTACTCCCCCATTTTTCAAATTGTCCTCCACAAGTCCCATTACGAATTCCGACCACTGAGCCCGTGAGCCTACGCCGTAAAATTGGCTGCGGTTTCGACCAAATTTATAGGACGTTGTAATTAAAAATCATCCTTGAATTGATAACATGGACGTTAATTAACTTTGGCTACAAATACGAAGAAAAACAAGTATTGTGTAAAATTAAAAAAAAAATTATGCAAATAAACAGTAAATCGATCGTTCAATAAAATTGAAGTCCAAATTGAGCAAGATCTGAAGTAAATAACCCAAAATTGCGGTAAACATTGCGTGAAGAAAAACACTATAAACCCCGATCATTCACCAGTTGTAACAACTAAAAACGATCGTAAAATGCCACTTTACCAATTAAATGTGACCTCACGGACGGCCTTGAAACAAACGTGAATGAATTATATCACGAGTAAATACCTAGGATTACACGGAAATAATTGATAAATCCATCATAAGACGCATTTTGTCATAACGGAACGAAAAATGTTCCCCTTGCACGGAATGGCAATTAACTTCGTCACGAAGCTATTTCTAATATAGACAATTTAGTAGTTTTAGTTCGAAAAACAAAAATATTAAATTTTTCTAGCCCCCACCCCCACGTCAAACACTACCACATCAAGCAGAACGCCCGCGGCGAGTTCTACCTATCCGAAAAACACTGCTGCAACTCAATCCCCGACCTAATCAACTACCACAAACACAACAGCGGAGGTTTGGCCTCCCGTCTCAAAACTAGTCCATGCGACCGGCCCGCACCTGCCACCGCAGGTCTAAGTCACGGTAAGTCGCCACATGTCCTCTCGTGATTGGTTCATGTAATCAAGCGCCCGCCTGCAATTGGTTCAAATTTCAGACAAGTGGGAAATCGACCACAACGAGCTCATGCTGCTCGAGGAGCTCGGCAGCGGCCAATTTGGCGTAGTCAGAAGGGGCAAATGGAGGGGCTCGATCGACGTCGCCGTCAAAATGATGAAGGAGGGGACGATGTCCGAAGACGACTTCATCGAAGAAGCGAAAGTCATGACGTAAGTGATTTGTGGTGACTAGATCGTTGACGACTAATTAGGGGTGCAGTAAATTGCAGCACACCAATTTGGTGCAACTGTATGGAGTCTGTAGCAAGAATAGACCGATTTTCATCGTCACTGAGTATATGAGGTACGGGTCTTTGCTCAATCACTTGCGGAGACACGAGCAGTCGCTGTCGAGCAATCAAGGGTTGCTACTGGATATGTGTATTCAGGTACGTGGGGGTGGAGTTGGTGTGCAGGGGTGACTTGGTTTTTGGTTGGGTAGGTGTGCAAAGGAATGGCCTACTTAGAACGACACAACTACATACATCGAGATTTGGCTGCTAGAAACTGTCTGGTGGGGACCGAGAACGTGGTCAAAGTGGCCGATTTTGGGCTCGCTAGGTACGTTTTGGACGATCAGTACACTTCGTCCGGTGGTTCGAAATTCCCGATCAAGTGGGCGCCCCCGGAAGTGCTCAACTACACGAGGTTTTCGTCAAAATCGGACGTCTGGGCCTACGGTATGTCCGTGTGTGCACTAAACAAAGAAGTACGTTTTGTTTTGCAGGTGTCTTGATGTGGGAGGTGTTCACGTGCGGGAAAATGCCGTACGGGCGCTTAAAAAACACCGAGGTGGTGGAGAGGGTGCAGAAGGGGATGATCTTGGAGAAGCCGAAGGCGTGCTATAAAGAAGTCTACGACGTACGTTGTCGTGTCGGGGTTTATAACGTCAACTTGACTGTGTTTTTTTCATAGGTTATGCGAAAATGTTGGAGTCACCTACCGGAGAACCGGCCCTCGTTCCGCATCTTAAAAGAACAATTAATTAGCGTTTCCCAAGGTATCCTGGTCGATTGACTGGCCCAACTCGTGTGCGAGTCGGTATCAAAGAGTTCATCAAGTTCAACGTCTACGTGTGATCTATGTTGTAACTACGAACAAACCTGGATCGGAATATGCGAGACTCTAAAACGAGAGGCTCGCAAAGCCAAACATTAAAGACTCTGGCCAGACGAAAGAATCGACTGGTTTAGCTTTTTTGTATATCGAATGATGGAAGATCGTGAAGCGACCATCAAGTAGCGACTAATTTATTTGACTAGACGTTAGTTTTATTATCGTGCTTTAAAAATGCTACAGCCGGCGGGAAACTTTAGGTTTTGTGATATTTGTTTTAGTGAAGATAGAGCGTATATAATCATGATAAGCCAGTCGTTTGTGATCAGTAGGAAATACCAACTTTATGTATTTAATCTAAGATATTGTTGCATTTATTATAAGACTTTATTGTGCGAAAATCGGGGCAACCCACAAAAATTGGCATTTATTAGACGCTTTATTTTTGACTGTTAGTTACTTAAAAAATCTATGGTAATTGTGATAGATTGGGTTAGGTAATTGAAACATCATTTCCTTTATCAACTTGTTGCATTTCAAAACGTGACGCCTATTCGACTTAGAATTTGTATACCAATTTTTTTAATCTTTTATACAATTTTTTTACCTATACTACCAACTATATCCACGATATAACTGTGTTCAGTTTGTAATGCTGTGTATTTTAGTATAAATAAATTGTATTGATTTAAAAAACGCGCGTCTCCAGACCCGTCACGTCCGGCGGGTGGTTGACTTCTCCGACGATTTCTATCCTATTGACGCGCAACATAGTCTGCGGCACCCGCATAAAGTTGATCCTCATGTACTGTTTCCTCCGCTTTTTCTTAAAATGGGTCTTGGTATGGGACAAAGTCTCTTCGATCACTGTGGCCTCTACTCGTACCAAACCCCGCTGTACCAGCGGCCGCCCGACTAAAGTAAAGTCGCGTCCGCCTACCAGCAACACCTTATCCAAACTAATGCGGTCCCCGGCCCCTGGAGGCCAGTAACCCTCCACCACGAAAACGTCCCCCTCTGTGACCTTCACCTGCTTGCCTTGAATATGCACCACAGCGAACAAGCGACCTTGCTTCGCCTGCGCCACTTGCCGATTCACCTTGTCGATTACATCTACAACAATTAAGACTTAAATTAAGACAAAATTAGCCAAATTGGTTTCACCTTGGTAGGTTTTGCGCTCCTCTTGCGCGTCCACGATTTCGTAGGGCGTAGGCACGTTGGAGTACAAACGCGGCAGGAACTGTGCCACCGGTTTGGGGTAGCTACGTGCAAAAGTCGCGAAAATCTTGCGAAGCGCCCCGGCCATGATTGAGGTTATGTGAGGTTAGGTTGCCCTCGTTGACAGACTTGACGGGTGTTTGACAGTAAACATCAACACGAGTGTGTACGTCGGGGAGATAGGAGATATGGATAGAGGCACCCAAACCCCTTTTTGTATGTAGAACAGTTATGTTAAAATTCTTCCGGCTTCGGCATGGTTACGTTAAGTTGCCTGGTGGAATCTTAGGTGAGTTGTCGTTTGAAGTTTTTTCGCTCTATTTTGGTTTTATGGCACGATTATCATTTCCAGCACTTGCAAGCGAGACATTTATGGTGTGTGACACGTATTAAGCGCGTGTGGAATTACAATTCGAAAGATTCGCTTTTTTGGAAAAATTTGCTGGGATTTTGGTGGTGGGCGCATGCGCGTTGAAAGTGTGCCCTTGGGACAGTTTCAAATGCGCAAAAATTATTAATAATATGACATCACTTTTCTATTTCAACGGAATTCAATTACGAGAAGGCAGGACCGTCTGCCGATTTTTAGTAACGCTGAATGGACGCGGCGGAATGTAGAAATGTTAATAGGGAGACAGGGGAATCGTGATGAGCCCATCCTGTACAATTCAGTCAATTAAAATCGCATGCATTGTGCATTGTGTGGCTATTTCCGGTTCCGGAGTTCGTCCTTCGTGACCAGCGCGATTTTGTAATTGGTCGAAATCGAATTCGCCGCCACGCAGCGACTCGGGCGCCAATTTTTAATTCACGCACATGTTTAAACAACCCAAAGATAAAATTAATCTCGACAGATAAATGTTTATTTTTATCGTTCTGGTGTAGAGTAGTTCCGTGAAGTACCATCAGAAAGGTGTGTAATCAATTAGGTTTTGCGTGTGGGTGAAGTAATGGAGCGGCTCCACCTAAGTAATGAAATTAGCACGACATGAAACAAAAATCGTTCTAAAAGGATGACATTTCTTGGGGAGCGGCACCTTGATATCTGCTATGGGGTGCGGTCGGACGTTGTCTTTCCTTAACATGTCCTGTTTTGTAGTTGTCTATTACTGTTATTACGAGCTAAGCATCCGCGAATTCCTCGTGACTCAGCGACTAAAATTTAATGCCTTTATCTCGTTATTGTAATCAGAATGGAATCGAGAGAATTAGAGACGCGACATTGTAGTGCGTCATTGCCAACAGGTACGTGTTTTAAATTGAGTACGAAAATTGACGCGGTGCACTTTTTTTTATTGTTACTATCGATCATCACCTTTTCTTGCGAAATGTCATAAAGGATACGGATCGTTAAAATCACCACTGAAAGGTCGAATTCGTAGGGGCTGGCTGGAGTCCTCACCCAGTTAGTCCTTGGTCGGTGGACGTTGCAGGTGGGCTAGCGCGCACTTGTAGTGATATTTAAAACCCCATCACTAATTCATCCAACTCCATAACGACGCGTTTACTTAATAATTTTTTCAATTGCGTCAACAACCCCGTAATAGCCACGATTATTAATATTTCATGTGCTATCGATCACTCGTAAAATTATTCATAATTTAATCACGCTCCGACCGTTTTTTCCTTCTCGGTGCGCTCAGTTTTTGTGATTTTTCTTCTAAATTATGTGCTTGTTCAGGGTGGCCTCTGAGGGGAGTTCACGAGACGGATGCCAGGTCAGAATATAGAGCTCGGACGTCTATCTTCTAGTCCTTCCAGAGATGCTACAGACAATAATTTCAACCCCCCAGGTACCTAAATCCTATCTTTCTTCTCCTCTCCTCGAGGACGATCTCTTGTAAAAACCGACAAGAAATCGTCGCTCAATCTCAACCTACTTACCCTTTGGTGTGGCTTTTGACTAATCGATTTTCGCACATAAACAATCAGTTTTCTCGAAATGTAAACGCACGTGGGTGGAGGTAAGTTTGCCTATCGAGAACCGGTGATCGTTAAAATTTCGGGTAAATAATTGTTTTGTGGGTGTTGCTAGTCGTTAATTTTTATGGACTGTAAAGCCAATTGTACATAAGCTAATTGGAGTGCGGAATTTATGGCGCGGGTTATAATGTACGCGTTTTAGGCGCAAAATTAGACGAATTTTAATTTTAAATGTCGGGCGAGATCAAAGCGCTGCTTGACGAAAAACATGCGAATGCTAATCTTTGAAGTAGCAGAGCTTATCAACAAATGTTCAACGGAATAATTTTATTACTACAGATTCATATATTCGGTGAACTTTTTTCCTATATGTAAATGAAAATGAAAGAAAGTTTTTTTTAGAGATTATCATGTGACGCAAATAAGTATTTTTTATGACTAAAGGATTATTCTGCGTCAGATCAATAAGTTCTGATAAAATTTTTTACAATACTTATTCCTCATGTGATAAAATCGTTACTCAACTTATCGTTAAACTTTGCTTTTATCGTATAGTCATACCCCAACTAATAAGAAGGTTGCATCGTTAAGCGAAATGTAATTCATAAAACTTTCAAATGAGAAAATAAAGATTATAGACGTCATTAAACATTTTTTTAAGTACAGTATAACCTCGATAATCCGAATTAATTGGGCAAAGGTGTGTTCGGAATAGCGATTTGTTCGGATCAGCGAATTTCCCGAAAAGCTGAAACTTAATTGAATAACAACTTCGAAATTTCGAAAAGATACATTCGAAAAAATATTACTTCGTGACCATAAGTTTTTCAAAAATAAAATTTCCCATTATGTATTCGTATTACTTTCCTTATGCAAATTTCGACCCATTCTCGACGATTTTCGAAATTTAACTAAATAATTCCATGTAGATTTTGGGTCGCAGAAGTCACTTCTGGCGTCAATGGAAATATCGCAATTTTTAAAAATTAAAAAAAAATTGATTTTCAACCCGAATTTTCCGAAAATATTGCTCCGTTACCATAAACATGCTATATTTTTGGAATCAGCACGTCGGGATATATCTCTGAATTTTTTCAGAATTTTTAGACAACTTTTTCAAAAATGAAATTTTACACAATGGTAGTACTTGCCAAATAACCTACCCTCTAAGAAAATAAGAGGCGGGTGGGCCAGGCTAGTATTGCCAAAATAAGACTCATTTTGACAAATGACCTACTCTTCTAAGAAAAGTTATTAGCCCCACCCACCCACCCCTTGTTTTCTTAGAAGAGTAGGTCATCTGCCAAAATCAATCTTATCTTGGCAAGCATGAGGCTGATTTTTGCAAATGACATATTCTTTAGGAAAATAAGGGTGGGTGGGCGGGGCTAGTACTTGTCAAGATGAGACTGATTTTGGCAGATGACTTATTCTTCTAAGAAAATAAACCATGGGTGGGTGGGGTCAGCACTTGCTAAAAATAAAAAAAATTAAAAACCAAAAAATGACAAATTGAAAAATCGGAAAATTGTACAACTGTATAATCGGAAAATCAAAAACTGAAATATCGAAAAATTGAAAAAAAAACAAATCCAGTTTTAATTTTTTTTTACTTTTTAGATTTTTCAACTTTTGAATATTTTGTTTGACAATTTTGAAGTTTTGAATTCCAATCTTTTGATTTTTCAAGTTTTAACTTCACAATTTTTGAATCTTCGATTTTTAATTTTTCAAGTTCTCAAGTTAAAATTTTTCCTTTTCACGATTTGCCATTATTCGATTTTTTAACTAAAAGAACAAATTTATTCGAACCGAAATCTTGAAAAATTGAAAATTAGGAACAAAATTTTCAGATGTTTTAAAGTTTCGGTAAACATGGCAAATCGCTGATCAAAATTGCTTTTTACTCCCTTCCAAAAACTCGGTGACAAAAAATCAAAAATCGAAAATTAAAAAAATATCCCGATATTTTTACAAATCAAATAATTGAGAATTCGGAAAATGCCAAAATTGTAAAATTAAAAAATCGAAAGTTTTTTCAGTTGTCTAGAGAAATCAAAAATCGAAAGACAAATCAAAAAATTGTAAATTTAAAAAGCGAGAAATTGAAGAATTCGAAAGTTGAAAAATCGAAAAACTGAAGAATCTAGTAGTACGCACTACGATAAAACTGATTTTGGCAAATGATCCACTTTCTTAATAAAACAAAGGGCGGGTGGGTATTTCTATTTCATAATACATATTTCTTTTTTTTTTGATTTTTCACTTTTTCGATTCTTTAGATTTTTCAAGTTTTCATTTTGTAATTTTTCGTTTTTATTTTCGATTTTTCAATTTTACAATTTCTCGACTTCCAAAATTTTCAATTTTTCGGTTTGCATCAGTTTTTTAATTTTTCCCTTTTCCAATTTTTTGTTTCCGATTTTTATTTTTCATTTTCCCGATTTTCAATTTTCACTTTTTCGATTTTATATCATCACAATTTTTCGTTTTTTCATTTCTTTTATTTTTTGTTGTTTCTTTCGATTTTACAATTTTTCGGTTATTCAATTTTTCAAATTTTCAGGTTTTTTTCAATTTTTCTTCAAATTTTCAAGTTTGATTTTCACTTTTTACAATTTTACAATTTATCGACTTCCAAATTTTCCAGTTTTTCAATATTACAATTTCTCATTTTTCACATTTTCGATTTTTAATTTTTCCCTTTTTCAATTTTTCAACTCCCCGATTTTGATTTTGCATTTTCCTGATTTTTTATTTTTCATTTTCTCGATTTTATATCGCAATTTTTTGTTTTTTCATTTCCTCAATTTTTGTTGTTTCTTTCGATTTTCCAATTTTTCGTTTATTCAAATTTTCAAATTTCAGGCCAATCGATTCCAATTCGTCGATTTTCTAATTTTTGAATTTTTCAGTTTGCAGTTTTTGGGTTCCACCCCTTTTTTACTTTTTGGATTTTCAATTTTTCGTTAAACTTTAGATTTTTCAAATTTTCAACAGTTTTATACTTCGATTTCTCAGTGTTTTTTCAACTTTTAGATGTTTTAATTTTTCTTTTTTAAAATTTTTCATTTTTTTCTATTTCTCGATGTTTCGATTTTTGGATTTCTCGGTTTTTCGATTTTCCAATTTTTCAATGTTTCGATTTTTCAATTTTTTTAAATTCTGGAGTTTCGACTTGTCGATTTTTCAGTTTTTCGATTTTTAAATTTTAGATTTTTCGATAGAAAGACCAAAAATTCCAGACTTCTTTGATTGAAAATTTGAAATCGAACAATGGAAAAAAAGAAAAATCGAGAAATTGAAACAAAAAAAATTGAAAATTAGAATATCGAAAAATCGGAAATCGAAGTGCTGGAAAATTGAAAAACGAAATAACGAAAAGTAAAAAATTGAAAAGTCGAAAAACCGAAGAATTGAAAAATTTAAAATGGAAAAGTAAAAAAACAAATATCGAAAAGCTACAATGAATATCGAAAACTAGAGAAATCAAAAAGTCGAAAAGCAAAAAACTGAAAACTCGAAAAACTGAAGAATTGAAAATGGTAGTACTTGCCAAATAACCTACCCTCAAAGAAAATAAGAGGCGGGTGGGCCAGGCTAGTATTTGGAAAAGGTATTAGCCCCACCCACCCACCCCTTGTTTTCTTAGAAGAGTAGGTCATCTGCCAAAATCAATCTTATTTTGGTAAGCATGAGGCTGATTTTTGCAAATGACATATTCTTTATGAAAATAAGGGTGGGTGGGCGGGGCTAGTACTTGTCAAGATGAGACTGATTTTGGCAGATGACTTATTCTTCTAAGAAAATAAACCATGGGTGGGTGGGGTCAGCACTTGCTAAAAATAAAAAAAATTAAAAACCAAAAAATGACAAATTGAAAAATCGGATAAATAAGAAATCGGAAAATTGTACAACTGTATAATCGGAAAATCAAAAACTGAAATATCGAAAAATTGAAAAAAAAACAAATCTTATATATCGAATTCGAAATTCCAGTTTTAATTTTTTTTTACTTTTTAGATTTTTCAACTTTTGAATATTTTGTTTGACAATTTTGCAGTTTTTAATTCCAATCTTTTGATTTTTCAAGTTTTAACTTCACAATTTTTGAATCTTTGATTTTTAATTTTTCAAGTTCTCAAGTTAAAATTTTTCCTTTTCACGATTTGTCATTATTCGATTTTTTAACTAAAAGAACAAATTTATTCGAGCCGAAATCTTGAAAAATTGAAAATTAGGAACAAAATTTTCAGATGTTTTAAAGTTTCGGTAAACATGGCAAATCGCTGATCAAAATTGCTTTTTACTCCCTTCCAAAAACTCGGTGACAAAAAATCAAAAATCGAAAATTAAAAAAATTGACATCATTTTCCCGATATTTTTACAAATCAAATAATTGAGAATTCGGAAAATGCCAAAATTGTAAAATTAAAAAATCGAAAGTTTTTTCAGTTGTCCAGAGAAATCAAAAATCGAAAGACAAATCAAAAAATTGTAAATTTAAAAAGCGAGAAATTGAAGAATTCGAAAGTTGAAAAATCGAAAAACTGAAGAATCTAGTAGTACGTACTACGATAAGACTGATTTTGGCAAATGATTTACTTTCTTAAGAAAACAAAGGGCGGGTGGGTGGAGCTAGTATTTGGCAAAATAAGGCTCATTTTGGCCAATGACCTACTCTTCTAAGAAAATGAGATTGATTTTTGCAAATGACATATCCTCTAAGAAAACAAGGGTGGGTGGGCGGGGCTAGTATTTGTTAAAATACGACTGATTTTGGCAAATAACCCACTCTTCAAAGAAAATAAAGGGTGGGTGGGAGGGGCTTGTATGTTTATTTATTTGACAAGTACTAGCAAATTTCGACCCATTTTCGACGATTTTCGAAATTTAACCAAATACTTTTTCTTGTAGATTTCGAGGGCAGAAGTGACTTGCGGCCTCATTTCTTCGATAACTTTAACTTTTTTTCCAGAACTAGATAATTAATTCAGTGCATTGAAATATCACAATTTTTGAAAATTTCAAAAAATTACCTATAGAAAGAAGATCTTGCGTCATTTTTGCAAGTAGGTGCATGTTTTCGAGTTCAGTTCGGATTGCGGAGTTTTTGTTCAGATTAAAGAGATATCGACTTCAACTAGCCTCTGTTCGGATTACTGGATTTTCGGATAATCGTGTGTTCGGATTATAGAGGTTATACTGTACATATGCAGGTCATTGTGATTTGTTTGTAAACATGTACCATTTGGCTTAGTCACCACTTTAATTAATATAGCGTTCTAATTTTGTCCTTATTTTTGTTTGCGCTAATCTTGATCAATATTCATTTTATTCTAATTTTATTAATAATCAGTTGTAACATTTGGGAAAAGTAAAAGCCTCAGGATGGAGCCAGAAGTACTCTTTCTACACTTTCATGGCCGTCGTGATAAATCCGCCTCTCGACTGCCATGAAACCCCCCAAAAAAGGGAAACCCGTCGTCGTATCGCCTCAACCACTTCACACTTCCTTCCGGAAGCTTATTTCTCGCGTACCTCCGTCGATTGCCGGCTCGCGCTAAATGCCCCATTGTGCCAGTAATTAACTCCCCGACCTTGAGTGTCCCTAATTGCCTGATTAAACGCGACGGGCCATTCATCAGTCGCCCGTTCTCCGCCGAAATTCGAAAATTTCCTCGGTCTTCCGTTGCCAAGAAACGACTTTCCAAGCACGCGCTCAACGCGGAATCGATACTCCCACGGTGTTGGATGCTATTCATCGCCAAAAACAATAAATATGACGATACTCTTGCGGAAATCTCGGAAAATGTGAAGTGGTGAGGCCATGCCGCTTTACACCGAACTGTACAACTCGATACGCGCCAGAATCCTTCATCGTAAGTGTTTATGTGGGGGTGGGTGTTGGTGTGGTGTCGTGTCGGCTTGCGGTGTTTGATTTCTTGTTTTTCTTTCATTCGAGACGAGGAAGATGGAACAGCGTCGTCTTCGAACCTGGACAGAGAGACGGAACCAGGGGATGCCCACGCCCCGAGCGAAGACCGCGTGATCTTCATCAACAGAGCACAACCGCCGGTACCCAAGTTCGTCAACAACAGAATATCGACTGCTAAGTATAGGTGAGTGCGAGGGGGCGGCTCACCTGCAGGTGATAACGACTCGGCGATGCCATTCACGAAAGCGGGACCATCGATTTGGTGTTTGTTTTATACTAGGGTGTGGTGTGCGGATCACACAAGCACAGAATAATTACATATCGCGTTGACAAGGGGGAAAATGTCTAGTGTACTTTATAACGGTTGACTAGAGCTAACACATTGTTATGTTATTTTGGGAAAATCAAACTCTTCGTTGCAAGTCGGACTAACTGTATTTTATTATTTCCAAATTTTGTTGTTTTATACCTTTTCAGACAATTAACAAATAATTAGAACGGGAAAGGTGACAGAAATATTTAGAATGTTTAACCTTACATTTAATTTGGAAAGACCCATAACACCTCCCACCTAAAGAATTTTGATATATTTGTCAAAATTTAAATTTTTAACTTTTTTGCAAAATCGTTGGATAATATAGATTTAGATCTTGATCTTGTGAGGATTGGATATAACGGGGCTGACGGACCTGGCACGTCTGCTGGATTTGGTTTAATAAACGTTTCTTCACCTTCTTCATCATCTTCTACATCTTCTTTGGCTATTTCTTTGAAGCTACCCAGTTAAGTCGGCGTATTAGAACGACGCTTATACACACTGCGACTAAATTTGCAAAACAAAATTCTTCTATACGACATCTTGCAGCAACATTTCCGAATGATGTAATATGATATGGGAATTAATGCAAGGAGAAGGAGAACTTCAATAACAACATTATACCATTTCGAATGTGTCACAATGAACGGATTTTCCATATTCCTTTGTAGAGCCTCTTCGAATTTTTGTAGTTGGTGCTTGGCGTGACGCAATTCATCAAAATTTGAACATTAGATTTTACGGTCTTCGTCTGACAGTCTGATGGAATGTGGTCCCATTGTTGTACCTTCAACAGTATTTCACAGACGGGGTGCTGATTAACCATATAAGTTATCGCATCTTGGCAAATAAAATCATCGTCATAAATCGTCTTGCAGGCGGAAAGATCCTTTAGGCGACCGTATTGCATCTTGGTTGTACTTATTAAGAGGTAGGGATAGTCTGTGTCGATGTATGAGAACGTGGATGAGGAGTTCTTATCAAGAGAGGGCAATGGAATTAGGTGATACAAATGAAAGGTTTCTTCGGAAACTAAGGGTATTTGTATAATGTAGATTAGAATATTTCTATCAAAAACAACTGAGAGTCTGCATATTGAGAAATACTTATGAATATGCTCCAGATTATCAGGTGGTATTGGGAAATTCAGATGCAAAAGAGAACTGGCTTTCATAAGCTCATCGCGTAAATTAGTAGGTGAAATAACTGATGGATGTAGAATATTATTCCGAGAAAATAATATTGAAGAAATTATAACGTCATATTCTTCATTTAATTCATTTGTTAATTGTATTAATAAATTGAAATGATCCATAATTAATTGCGAATAAGTTAATGCATTAATGTCCTTTGTAGCATTTTCTGAAAATTCATTAAATTTATTTATATTATCATTTAATCGTTGTTCGTTTATTTTCAAAGATTGAGCTGACCTATTGTAGTTAGTAATGGCATCTGAAATACCGCGAATCTGTTGTTTCATTAGCATTTTGGTATCATGATTATTTAAAATGATGTTTAAGTAAATCAAAATGATATTTTGCGAATTTATTTGGTTTAATCTCGATTTTAACAGTGTGATTTTTATTTACTTCTACTATTTTAAATGGACCTTTATAGTTTGGTTGAAGCTTCCGATTCAGATTCCTTTTTTTCTCTTTATTTAAGACATAAACCAAGTCGTTGACTTGAAATTCTTTTGGATGTACGTTTCTATCGTAATAGATTTTCGATTTTTCTGTAGATTTGAGAATGTTTTCGCGAGATATTTCAAAGGATCTATTTAATTTCAACTTGAGATTTTTAGAGTAATCTTCATAAGAATATCTGAATTCAGGTTTACTAGTTAATGAATTTGGTATAGCTGCTTTGTGTCCAAAAACTAATTCGTATGGTGTAAATGAGTACTAGCGTGAATGCGGGTGTTATATGTAAAAATACCCAAGGGAATATATTCATTCCAGTTAGTTTGATTTTGATTTATGTAATGCTTCAAATATTCCTTTAATGTTGAATGAGATCTTTCTAGACTACCATTTGATTTTGGATTATAATAACTAGTTAAAATGTGTTTTATCTTGAATAATTTATTTACTTCCTTTACTATATTTGACACAAAATCGGGAGAATTATCTGAAAGAAGACTTTCAGGTAAACCAAAAATGGTTATAAACTTTAATAAAGATTCAACTATAGTTTTAGCTTCGTGGTTTGGTGTACAAATGGCAAATGAATATTTTGTTAGATCATCTTAATAATAAAACGATCGCCATTTTCGGTAATTGGTAACGGACCAACTACATCAATAGTTATTTTTTCAAATGGTTTCGAAGATGTTGTAGTAATCACCATAGGGGCCTTTGAAGGGTGACGAGATGTTTTATTGATTTGACATGATGGACATGATTTAATATATTGTTTGATATCTCTTTTCATTCCCTGCCATTTATAGTTTTCTTTTATACGCTTGTATGTTCTAGAGTAGCCTGAATGACCTGAGATAGATGAATTATGGTTTTCTTCCAGAATTCTACAAATTTCATCCTTCGTTTTAGGACATAATCTTTCTTTTTCAATTAAAGTGATTTTGATATTTGAGTCCGAAAACAGGAAGTGCAACATTTCGTTGATCATACTTAGTTTGAAATTTGGATTATAGTTTAAAGGATTAATAAGAAACATTTGTTTGATTTCTAATTGAGTTAAATTTTCCTTTAATTTCAGCAATGCATAAAACAGATTTTTATATGTAACTTTATCAGAATAGTTTAAGTGAGTGATAAGAAGGAATGTTTGTTGTTTCTGAGAATTTCTTAGGTGGATGCAATTATTTAAATCTAGATCTGATCCTGAAATCGCGTCAATATCATATAATGAGTTTATGTTTTGGAAGAAAAAGTTGTTTTCATCTAAATCTTTGGAAAAAAGCAAAACATTTGGAGATTTTTTAAATATGTTTTCTTTGATAATGTCGAATTCAATTAAGTCATTGTTTCTATAATGGAATTCAATAAAGTTGTTGTATGTCTTTTCAGATTTATTGTTTAAAAGAACGGGGTTTCTTGATAATGCATCTGCGTTAGAATTAATTTTTCCCGGTTTATATTGCATTTTATAATCGTATTCTTCTAATTTTAGTCTCCATCTCACTAAACGAGAACTAGGGTCTTTGCAATTGAATAACCATGTTAATGGACGATGATCAGTTACAATTGCAAATTTGTTTCCATAAAGGTAATGTCTGAAGTATCGTACAGCCCAAACTATCGCTAACAACTCTTTCTCTGTAGTAGAGTAATTGATTTCAGACTTATTAAGTGTTCTAGATGCATAAGCAATAGGGAGATCTTTACCTATTGGACCTTGAGAAAGTACGCAACCTACAGCGTACTGAGAAGTGTCGCATGTTAAAATGAAATTTTGTTTAAAATCTGGATATTGTAGGATTGGTTGACTTGTTAAAATTTCTTTAAACTTACTGAAGGCAATTTGTTGATCGTGTCCACATATGAATGGGACTTCTTTCTTTAACAAAGAAGTTAGAGGTTTAGCTATTTTAGACAAACCTTTGATAAAATTTTTATAATAACCAATTAATCCCAAAAACTGTTTGATTTGTTTAGCGTTTTTTGGAACAGGACACTCAATTACGGCTTTGATTTTCTCTGGATTTGAAGAAACGCCTTTATCACTAATAACATGACCTAAATAAGTAACTTCTTTCCTCATAAATTCACACTTATCAGGTTGTAAAAGTAGATTATTTAATCTTAGACGACTGAATATCGATCTTAATTTTTCGTTATGATCATTGATAGAATTTGCATAAACAACAATATCATCTATATAAGCAAAACACTGAAAGCCCGTTAAACCCATTAATACCGTATTAATCATACGTTGAAAAGTACTAGGAGCTGTTTTTAAACCAAAGGGCATAAGTGTGTACTCATAGTGACCATTTGGAGTTGAAAATGCTGTCTTTGGAATATCTTGTTCTGACATTTTAATTTGAATAAAACCAGAGGCTAGGTCAAGAACAGAAAAGTATTTAGAGTGACCTAAACCATCCAAAATTTCATTAATACTAGGCAAGGGATAAGCATCACCCACCGTAACAGCGTTTAGCATTCTGTAGTCGGTTACTACCCTAAATTTTCTTTCGCCAGAGGCATCTATTTTCTTTGGAACAATCCAAAGTGGGCTATTGTAAGGCGAAACAGAATGACGAATGATGCCTTGTTTGAGCCACGTTTTTATTTGTTTGTTAACTGTATCATTAAATGAGACTGGATATCCATACATTTTAGAACGAATTGGTGTGTCATTGCTGGTATGGATCTCATGTTCGACTACATCGGTGTTAGTTAATGTGTCTCCATCTAGATAAAATATATCATTGAATTCGTTACAAATTTTTAGTACTGATTCCTTTTCTTCTTTATTTAAATGATCTAATCTTAAATTTTTCTTCAAATTATTAACCCTTTCGGATAAATTTATAGAATTTTCATTTACTAGAAATATATTAGATTTGTTTTCATCGAATTCTTCCAACTCTACATTAATATGATAGTATATAATACTGCTTCAGTTCTTGCTTTTAAAATATAAGATTCGTTCTTATTAGGATTGCAATTTAAAAAAATTGAGATATTAAATGGAAGAGAATCAATTTTGAGACTACAATTTTTGTAATCGATTTGGGCATTTTGAGGTTGCAGGAAATCATTTCCGATTAGTCCATCGAAAGGAATGTTACAATCTTGTTTAACGATGTGAATTTTAATCGGAACTTTATGGCCATAGATCTCACCATCAAATGTCATACTGGCGGCAGTATGAACAGGGGAAGTACCAAGACCCGACAAAATTATTTTTTCTGATGGATCGCAAAAGGTATTAGTGCCTATAATTTTTGAATGTTTTATTAAGGAGACATTCGCACCAGTATCTAATAAGAATTTATATTCTCTGTCTTTGTATTTTAACTTAATGTAAGCATTATTATTGGTAAACAACACAGAGCTGGCACCAAATGTTTGAGTATTTAAAACTTGAATATTCTTACAATTTATGGAAGACTGACATGAACTAAAAGGTTTTAAATCGCTGATTTGGGTATTTACAGAAACGGCGTTTTTCTGAGACGGTTTCAAGTTTAAATGTACGGAATTTGTTGAACACGGTTGAATTTCGGGTGAAACTTCGGGTAATAATTTATTGACATCGTTTGAATTTTTCTTTAAATTATTGTTCCGTTTCCAACATTTTTTTGCAATACAAAATTACAAAATTTTGTTTGATATGTCGCATTGAAATGTACTCTTTGATTAGATTTGTTGATTTTATTCCGACAGTTTTTTATATTATGACCTGATTTCTTACAAAAATTACAAAAACTATAAGTTTTGTTAGCATGTGAAATCGTAAATTTTGAAAGAGAAAGAGCACGTTCCTCTTCTAGAGCTTCCGAAAGCGCGTCTTCAATATTTTCAGGTTTTCGACTTCTTAGATATTTGGATATATCATTAATCGTGTAAAAAACAAAGCGCTGTAAAACTAGTTCTTTAATTGTACTTAACTTTCCAGCAAGTTCTTGATTATATTATTTGAATCATTATTAATTGACAAAATATTTAAAATTCTAGAATTGATACGATCTAATCGTTCATAAAATGACATCACGGGTTCATTGTTATTTTGTTTAATGGTATTTAATTCTTGCATTAACTGAGTGTAATGTTTTTTATCGGAATAATATTGAACTAATAAGTTCCTTAAATCTGCCCATGAAGAAATTTCTTTACCGTGCAACTGAGATCTAACACTACCCGTTAATCTGGTTATTATAAATCCCAATATAAGTGACTGTTGGGATTCATTACCGAATTTGAAAGCTAACTCACAGTTATTTAAGAATTCATTTAGCTCAAGGCGGTTACCACTAAATGGTTTCGGAATTAGTGAGCATATGAAATTTAGTTGAATGGGAGTATTTGAGGCATTAGTATTTTCATTTTCTGTCATTTTGATTGTGATTAATACAGCAAACAATAATTAGAAAATAAGGATTGGAATGAATACCAAGACAGTTCTAATAAGTAATAACCAAGTACAAAGTAAAGTCGGAAAAAAAGAAATCGTTCTGCTTACAGTTTGACAGTCCTTGATGATCTTGAACACGGGATGATTTTTCTTTAGTTCTGTGGACGAACTTTCCCAATGGACCAGTTCACGAATCCAATCTGGTATAAATTTTGATTCTTTTCTGATAATGGAAGTTTCTTGAAACCTTCCCAGATAAATCAATCTTCAACAGCTTTTTGGATTATTACGTTTGTGATATCCCACATCTGACCCCAGTTTTTGTTATGTTATTTTGGGAAAATCAAACTCTTCGTTGCAAGTCGGACTAACTGTATTTTATTATTTCCAAATTTTGTTGTATTATACCTTTTCAGACAATTAACAAGTAATTAGAAAGGGAAAGGTGACAGAAATATTTTGAATGTTTAACCTTACACTTAAGTTGGAAAGACCCATAACAACATGACGGTTTAAATATTTATTTTGTTAGTGTAAATAAAATAGAATGGAATTTTATTCACGATAAAACGTACTTTCTGACGTTTTGTAGGCTTGATTAAAATTAACCCAATAAATATTACGTCATCGGGTTTTTGAAGGATATAAACAAATCAATTCCAGTGGTCAGAATTTCCTGACCCGTTCGATCGAAGTCAATTCTGAAAACAAACATCTCGTGGGTGTGCTCGCCTCCAATTCCGGCGAAGTCGTGGAGCTAAATGTTTTATCGGTTGCGTGATTACCTCCAGATGTGATTTATTTACGTAACCGATAATACGAGCACAATAACTACATTATTCGTTCCACCCGAAATAAATCTCGGCCTTTTAAAATAATAACGACCCGACGATCGCCCATTTGCATGTAAATAAACACTTTCCTTAACCGCCGTCACTCATCTTAACCCACTTTTTTTCAGTGTTATACGTTTCATACCGTTGTTCCTGTTCGAACAGTTCCGAAGATGGGCGAATATATTTTTTCTTATGATTGCCCTCTTGCAACAAATTCCGGACGTGTCGCCGACTGGACGTTACACCACACTAGTGCCTCTTATTTTTATTCTTTCAGTGTCAGCTATCAAAGAGATCATAGAAGATATCGTAAGATCGCGCATTTGTTAAAAAATTTTAATCACTCTAGACGTTGTAGAAACGCCACAGGGCCGACGACGAAACCAACCACCGCAAAATCGAGGTTCTGCGAGGCGAAAATTGGATTTCCATAAGGTGGATGGACGTGATCGTGGGGGATATAGTCAAAGTCCTCAATAACACGTTTTTTCCAGCCGATTTGGTACTGTTGTCTTCTAGGTAGTTAAATACGGCGGGTAGTCGTATGGTACAATGGCATGCAAATGTTTTGAGCCTATGGGCGGATCATTTTTGCCGGTAGGAGGCGGTCCAAATCGTCCAAGGGCAGAATTTGTAGGTAGGCTCAAACTACAACGAAATTTACGTGTTGACCAAATTCTTACCCTAAATTAGTTTTAATTTTATAAATACTTACTCTGAATTAGTTTTAATTTTATAAATACCCTATCTAAAATGTTCAGAATATGATGAGTCTATACTTTTTGATTTACCATTCCATTAATATTTTTTGGATTTGTTTATACATACAGGGTGACTATTGAAGAAATCAAGAATTGCAAAACTGAATACATAGAAATCTTGTCAATTAGTTAGAAAAAAAAAACCTGGCCTGCTCTAATAACATCGAGAATATGCTCAAAATCACACTAATATTAGGTCTAATTGTGCCGACCATACTTATAAAATTCACATTAAAGTAAGTCACGGACATTTTTTGAAGTGTACTACATTTCAAAAAGCAAAAAAAATGTTCAGTTTATAAACTTCATAATTTTGGTTTAAAGTTTATCAATCATATTTGACGCTTTATTTTATCCGTTCCATTTGTTATCCTTTACTGCGGTCTCTTCTTCGACCGATAGGATAATTTATTACTTCCGACATCTTTTCGGTGACAAATTTAATCTTTGCATACTTCAGCGTAGTTAGTGAACTCGTTGTGACCACTGAAATATACAAAGAGTAAATTTTGAAATGGAACGAAAATCGAAGAATACTTTCAAAGCCACGATCAAAATGTATTTGCTTATCTTCGCCAAAAAATGCATGACGTCATCGTAAAATTTGATATGATGAGTCTATACCTGTGATTTATCATTGCAGTAATATTTTTTAGATTTACTTATACAGCCTGTCTCAAAAAAAGGTCACTTCGATTTTCGATTTTTCGTTTTTTCGACCAACAGTTTCATCGAATTAGATTTTTCAGTTTCCATTTTTCTATCAACTTTTCGATTTTATTACTTTCCAATTTTCTGATTTTTCAAGTTTGCGGTATTTTGAATTTTCGAGTTTTCAGTTTTTTCGATTTTTTAATTTTTCGTTTTTTTGATTTTTCGATGTTTCGATTTTTTGATTTGCCATTGTTTCAATTTTCGATTTTTGGTCTTTCCATTTTTAGATTTTCGGATTTTTCTGTTCGTCAGCTTTTAGACTTGGCAATTTTTTTGCATTTTTCGATTATATTTTACTTTCCGATTTTTTTGATTTTTGAATTCTCGATTTTTCAATTTTCCGGTTTTTTAATTCTTCTATTCTCGATTTTTCGATTTTCCATTAATCATTAAATTTTCCATTTTTCGGTTGTTTTATTTTTCGACCTTCGATTTTTCAACTTTCGATTATTCGATTTTCCATTTTCTGATTTTACGATTTTTCGATTTTCGTTTTTCCGCTTTTGTGGTTTTTAGATTTTTCTGTTTGTTCCAGTTTTTATGGTTCTGCAATTTGTTTTATTTTTCCATTTTTCGATTATTTTACTTTCCGATAGTTTGATTTTTGAATTTTCGGTTTTTCCATTTTTCGATTTGGGATTTTTCAATTTTTCGGTTTTTTAATTTTTCATATTTCGATTTTCGATTTTTCAGATTTGTGGATTTGTGTCCGTTTTTTCGATTTTTAGAATATTGATTAATCGAATTTTCGTTTTTGAGCATTTCGATTTTTCGATTATCATTTTTACGATTTTTCAAAATCTCGATATTCGAGTTTTCGATTTTCCATTTTTCAAATTTTCAATTTTTAATTTAGCTTTTTTCGATTGTTGCTTTTTAGAATTTTCCCTTCTTCAGCTTTTAGATTTCAATTTTGTTACTTTCCGATTTTCCATTTTCGATTTTATTTTTTTTCGATCGTCGTTTTTTCGATTTTCATTTTTCCGATTTTTTGATTTTTCAATTTTTAGGCCTTGCAATTTTTTTTACTTTTCGCTTTTTCGAGTATTTGTTTCATCGAATTTTCGATTTTTCGAGTTTTCGATTTTCGATTTTTCGGTTTTTCCATTTTCCGATTTTCCATTTTTAGATATTTTTCGATTTTTTTTGATTTTTCGATTTTTCTGTTCGTCAGTTTTGAGACTTTGCAATTTTTACTTTTCCACTTTTCTATTATTTTAGTTTTGGATTGATATGTTTTTTTTTTCATTTTTCGATTTCCGATTTTTTAATTTTTCGATTTTTCGGTTTTTTAATTTGTCGATTCTCGATATTCCGATTTTCGATTTTCCAATCTTCGATTTTTCAATTTCCAGTTTTCGATTTTCCACTTTTTGATTTTACGATTTTTCGATTATTTTACTTTCCAATTTTTTGATTTTTGAATTGTCGACTTTTAGAGTTTTCAATATTATGAATTTTCGAATTTTCGGTTTCCCTATTTTTCGATTTTTGATTTTTCCATTTTTCGGTTTTTTGATTTTTCAATTCTCGGTTTTTCAATCTTGCAAAGTTTCGATTTTTCAGATTTGTGAATTTACAGTTTTTCGATCGACCTACGTATTAGATTCATTGAATTTTCGATTTTCGGCTTTTCCATTTTTAGATTTTTGATTTTCCAGTTTTGTATTTTCAGATTTTCTGTTTTTCGCGTATCTGATTTACCAAATTTTCGATTTTTCGATATTTGATTTTCGAATTTTCGATTGTTCAGTTTTCCATTTTTCAGCTTTTAGACTTCAATTTTTTTACTTTTCGATTTTCCAAATTTTCGAGTTTCAATTATCAGATTTTTGATTTTTCGATTTTCTTTTTAAATCTTTGAATTTTTCGGTTTTGATTTTTCGAATTTTTGATTTTCAATTTTTCCATTCTTCGGTTTTTAGACTTCAATTTTCTTTCTTTTAAATTTTTCGATATTCTATTTTCCGCTTTTCAGAATTTTCGATTTTCAGTTTTCAGACTTTCGATCATTAGAATTTTGGATTTTTCAGTTTTATGATTTTTCGATTTTTAGAAAATTTGAGTAGTCGAATTTTCGATTTTTCAATTCATTGATTTTTCCATGTTCAAATTTTCAATTTTTAATTTTGCTTTTTTCGATTGTTGCTTTTTAGAATTTTCCCTTCTTCAGCTTTTAGATTTCAATTTTGTTACTTTCCAATTTTCCATTTTCGATTTTATTTTTTTTCCATCGTCGTTTTTTCGATTTTCATTTTTCCGATTTTTTGATTTTTCAATTTTTAGGCCTTGCAATTTTTTTTACTTTTCGCTTTTTCGAGTATTTGTTTCATCGAATTTTCGATTTTTCGAGTTTTCGATTTTCGATTTTTCGGTTTTTCCATTTTCCGATTTTCCATTTTTAGATATTTTTCGATTTTTTTTGATTTTTCGATTTTTCTGTTCGTCAGTTTTGAGACTTTGGAATTTTTACTTTTCCACTTTTCTATTATTTTAGTTTTGGATTATTCGATTTTTTAATTTTTCGATTTTTCGGTTTTTTAATTTGTCGATTCTCGATATTCCGATTTTCGATTTTTCGATTTTCCAATCTTCGATTTTTCAATTTCCAGTTTTCGATTTTCCACTTTTTGATTTTTCTGTTCGTCAGTTTTTAGGCTTTGCAATTTGTTTACTTTTCGATTTTTCGATTATTTTACTTTCCAATTTTTTTGTTTTTGAATTGTCGACTTTTAGAGTTTTCAATATTATGAATTTTCGAATTTTCGGTTTCCCTATTTTTCGATTTTTGATTTTTCCATTTTTCGGTTTTTTGATTTTTCAATTCTCGGTTTTTAAATCTTGCAAAGTTTCGATTTTTCAGATTTGTGAATTTACAGTTTTTCGATCGACCTACGTATTAGATTCATTGAATTTTCGATTTTCGGCTTTTCCATTTTTAGATTTTTGATTTTCCAGTTTTGTATTTTCAGATTTTCTGTTTTTCGCATATCTGATTTATCAAATTTTCGATTGTTCAGTTTTCCATTTTTCAGCTTTTAGACTTCAATTTTTTACTTTTCGATTTTCCAAATTTTCCAGTTTCAATTATCAGATTTTTGATTTTTCGATTTTCTTTTTAAATCTTTGAATTTTTCGGTTTTGATTTTTCGAATTTTTGATTTTTAATTTTTCCATTCTTCGGTTTTTAGACTTCAATTTTCTTTCTTTTAAATTTTTCGATATTCTATTTTCCGCTTTTCAGAATTTTCGATTTTCAGTTATCAGACTTTCGATCATTAGAATTTTGGATTTTTCAGTTTTATGATTTTTCGATTTTTAGAAAATTTGAGTAGTCGAATTTTCGATTTTTCAATTCATCGATTTTTCCATGTTCAATTTTTCAATTTAAATTTTGCGATTTTCAATTTGTCCATTGTCGATTTTTATTTTTTTCGGTTTTTCAATTTTTCTATTCTCAACTGTTAGACTTCAATTTTGTTACTTCCCGATTTTTTGGTTTTCGATTTTCCAATTTTCAGAATTTCCAAGTTTCTTTATTCAGATTTTCGATTTTCCACTTTTTCGATTTTAGATTTTTCGAATTTTTGTTTTTCCAATTTTTTGCTTTTTCGATTTTTCTGTTCGTTTCAGTTTTTAGGCTTTGCAATTTTTTCTACTTCATATACCGGGTGTCTCTTTTATTTGATACAACCCCTGTAACTTTTTTATTTTTAAAGATAAATCTGTAGTTCTTTGAGCAAATTTGTATCATTTTAAAAGATCTATGTGATGGCAACAATTTTTCAATTGTTTTTCAAGCAACTAGATTTCGAAATAAACGGAAAATTTTGGAGATATTTTAATAAATAACTTTTTTATTATTGATTTTACAATATTGGTTGCTTTTAATTTTTTGCAGTAAAAAAATCAATCTTTCCATTTATGAAAAAATATACCTAGTGTTCCATTAAAAAAAAATAAGTTGACGTCATTTCCGGTTCTACCGCAAGTGATAATAAAAATGTGTGCTCACTATCATATAAATCTTTGAAAATGATACAAATTTGGTTAAAGAACTACAGGTTTATCTTCAAGAATAAAAAAGTTACAGGGGTTGTATCAAATAAAAGGGACACCCTGTATATTGATTATTTTAATTTCCGATTTTTTTTATTTTTGTTTTTGATTTTTTTAATTTTCAATATTACTTTTCGATTTTTTGCTTTTCCCGTTTTTCAATTTTCGATTTTTCGATTTTTGGGGTTTGTGAATTTCCACTTTTCGATCGACCTAGGTATTTGATTCATTGAATTTTCGATTTTTTAATTAGCCATTTTATTTTTTTGATTTTTACGATTCGTATTTTTCGATTTTCTGTTTTTTGCATTTGTGAATTTCATTTTTTCAGATTTTTGATTTTGCGCATATTAATCAAATTTTCGAAAAAGTTACCATGCTTACAAAAACTTCAAAACATCTACAATATTTCAAAGCATTCAATTTTGCTATTCTTGATTTCTTCAATAAAATAAACTGACTCAGTCATTAACTTTTTTGAGACACCCTGTATAACCAAATCTAAAAAATATTAATGCAGTGATAAATCACAAGTATAAAAACTCATCATATTTTATACATTTAAGATAGGATTTATTCTGCAAAATTTTGAGGTGACGTCATAAATTTTTTAGAGGGGACACTCGACAATATCGTTTTTTATTTATTTATTTATTATGAACATTTAAGAGTATTTTATTGGAAAAAGTGATGAAATTTTTTATACGGAGCAATTGGTCGAAAGATGTAGAAAGCAAAATAATTCCTGTCCGGACCATCGTTACTCACGAACGAAAGTGACCATTATTTTATGGGAACAACTACCTGCTAAATCTTCTCCGACAAATTTGAGAGAACTGGTGTGAGCCATAAATACTTCTTACCAAATGTAAATTTCGTTGTAGTTTGAGCCTACCTACAAATTCTGCCTTTGAAGGATTTGGACCGCCTTCTTCATAGGCTCAAAACATTTGCGTGCGATTGTACTAAACCCATTTCGTTGTAGCGAACCCCAAGGGATGAGTTTCATCGAAACGGCAAACCTGGACGGAGAAACGAACTTAAAAATTCGTCAAGCTCTTCCGAATACCGCGAAGTTGACGACGATAAGCGACTTGAAGGACCTGTCGGGGACGATAGAGTGCGAACCGCCGAATCGACATCTATACGAGTTCAACGGAGTCCTCAAGGAAACTAATAAGTTGCCGCAGCCCCTAGGCCCCGACCAGATCCTCCTAAGAGGGGCTATGTTGCGCAACACTTCGTGGGTTTTCGGTATCGTCATCTACACAGGTCACGAGACTAAACTGATGCGGAACTCCACCACAGCCCCTTTGAAACGATCAAGCGTCGACAAACTCACAAACATCCAAATTCTGCTCCTCTTCGGGATTCTGTTCATCATGTGTCTAATCAGTGCCATCTTTAATTTAATCTGGAGCAACAACAACAAAGGCGCCAATAGCTATATAGGGTTGAGTGGTGAGCCGCCACAATACTCCCACCTACGACACTATTATCATTTTCGTTCCAGAAACTGCGAGCGAAAACTTCGCCTACAACCTCCTCACGTTCTTGATCCTCTTCAACAACCTCATCCCGATATCGTTGCAAGTCACCCTCGAAGTCGTTCGCTTCATCCAAGCCATCTTCATCAACATGGACATCAAGATGTACCACGTCGAGACCGACACCCCCGCCATGGCTCGAACCTCCAACCTCAACGAAGAACTCGGTCAGGTTAAATACATCTTCTCGGACAAAACCGGGACTCTCACTTGTAACGTGATGGAGTTCAAGCGCTGCGCTATCGCCCACGACGTCTACGACGCCGTCGCCGACGACTACAACGACGCTCTCATCGTGCAACATTTACGCCACAATCATAAAAACGCACCATTGATTAAAGAACTCCTCGTGTTGTTGTCGGTTTGTCATACCGTCATCCCCGAGAAGATGCCCGACGGGAGTATAGTTTATCACGCCGCCTCCCCCGACGAGCGCGCCCTAGTCTACGGAGCCTCTCGCTTCGGCTACGTTTTCAAAAGTCGCACCCCCAGCTTCGTCGAAATCGACGCTTTGGGTGAAACCGAGCGCTACGAAATCCTGTCAGTCTTGGAGTTCTCGTCAGCCAGGAAACGCATGTCGGTGATCGTGAGGGACCCCTCTGGTAAAATCAAGCTGTTTTGTAAAGGGGCGGACACTGTGATTTACGAACGACTGGATAACTCAGGCCGCGAACACAGTGAGGTCTTATTACAACACCTGGAGAACTTCGCCACGGAGGGTTTAAGAACGCTGTGTTGCGCAGTCGCCGAGCTAAAAAAAGCGGAATACGAAGATTGGAAGAATTTGTATCACAAGGCGACGATTTCGCTCCAACACCGAGAAGAAAAAGTCGAGGAGGCGGCGAATTTAATCGAGCGGAAGTTGAAGTTGATTGGTGCCACAGCGATTGAAGATAAGTTGCAGGAAGGTGTACCTGAAACGATAGCGACGTTGTTGAATGCGAACATCAACATTTGGGTTTTAACGGGGGATAAGCAAGAAACTGCGATTAATATCGGGTATTCGTGCAGGCTCTTGTCACACGGGATGCAGCACATCATCCTCAACGAAGACGGCCTCGACGTGAGTATCCAAAATTCATCCTACCGACTGCGCCATTAATGCGTTCCAGAACACCCGCGAGTCCATTCTTCGCCACAACTCCGAACTCGGCGACAACTTAAACAAACAAAACGAAATCGCGCTGGTTATAGACGGCAAGACGCTGAAGTACGCCCTCAGCTGCGAGCTACGTACCGATTTCCTCCAGCTGTGTATTTCCTGTAAAGTCGTGATTTGTTGTCGGGTTTCGCCCATGCAGAAAGCCGAAGTCGTCGAGTACGTCACCAAGCACACCAAAACCGTGACGCTGGCGATCGGCGACGGCGCCAACGACGTGGCTATGATCCAAAAAGCGCACGTGGGGGTGGGTATTTCGGGGGCGGAAGGGCTGCAGGCGGCGTGCGCCTCCGACTACAGCATAGCCCAGTTCAGGTTCCTGCTGCGGCTGCTTTTAGTGCACGGCGCGTGGAACTACTCACGTATGTGCAAACTCATCCTTTACAGCTTCTACAAGAACATCTGTCTCTACGTCATCGAGCTCTGGTTCGCTATTTATTCGGGCTGGTCTGGGCAGATTTTGTTCGAGCGGTGGTCGATCGGGTTGTATAATGTTATTTTTACGGCTTTGCCGCCCTTAGCGATGGGGTTGTTCGATAAGGCGTGCAGCGACGAAGTCATGGTCAAACACCCGCAGTTGTACAAACCGTCGCAGAGTGGCCAACTTTTCAACGTCAAGGTGTTTTGGTTGTGGGTGGTGAACGGGATGATACATTCGGCCATTTTGTTTTGGCTGCCGCTGCTGATTTGTCAGTACGATATTTTGTGGATGTCGGGCCGGGATGGGGGATATTTGGTGCCGGGGAGTTTCGTGTACACGGTAAGTTGGGGGTGGTGATGGAACGAAAGTAACTGGGTTGTTGCAGTATGTGGTGATCACTGTGTGCTTGAAGGCGGGGCTGGTCACTAATTCGTGGACGTGGTTGACGCACTGCGCCATCTGGGGGTCCATAGTCTTGTGGTTTTTGTTCATCATTGTGTACAGGTAGACTTGGTTTAAAATGAAAATTGAGTATTCAACACTTCACTAAACATAAATGACGTAAGAATGGAAGAGGGTTCGTATAATAGCAAATTCCCTTAGATAAATGACTAGGGGCTTAAATGTCAACACATTCAAAATTATTCGAAAGCTATCGGTGTTTTATTTTTGATACTCGATGTGATTGTTGAGTTATAAAAATTGGTCTAAAGTTATTTAGACAGCACTTTCCTCGCTCTTGAAGTCCGGTATAACATATTCAGTTTTGTCTGATAATTGTAAGATTCGATTTAGAGATTTTTTCTCGATTTTATATCACAATTTTTGGTTTCTTTATTTCCTTTATTTTTTTGTTTCTTCCGATTTACAATTTTTTATTTATTCAATTTTTCAAATTTTCAGGCTTTGATTTTTCAATTCCATGATTTTCCACGTTTAAAATTTTTCAGTTTGCGGTTTTTGGATTTCCAGTCTTCCAATTTTTCAGTTTCTTTAATTTCCAATATTTTGATACATTTTTCTTTTTATTTTATTTTTCACTTTTTCGAATTTTAAGTTTTTCAATTTTTATTTCGATTTTTCAAATTTTCGTTTCTTCAAATTTTCGTGTTTGATTTTCACTTTTGACATTTTTCAAGTTTTCATTATGTACTTTTTCGTTTTTTTTTTTTAATTTTGATTTTTACAGTTTCTTGACTTCTAAATTTTTCAATTTTTCGAGTTGCAATTTTTTAATTTTGCAATTTTTCGATATTACAGTTTCTCATTTTTCGATTTTTCACATTCTCAGTTTTTAATTTTTGTCATTTTCCATTTTTCGTTTCCTCAATTTTTCAAGTTCTCGATCTTTATTTTTCATTTTCCCGATTTTTTTATTTTTCATTTTCTCGGTTTTGTGTCACAAATTTTAATTTTTTTCAATCCTTTATTTCTTGTTGTTTCTTTGGATTTTTCAATTTTTCGTTTCGTCAATTTTTTGAATTTTCAGTTTCTCAATTTTTACTTTCCACAATTTTTCATGATCCCGATTTTTATTTTTCAATGTGGCGAATTTTTAATTTTTATTTTCTTGATTTATATCACAATTGTCCGTTTTTTAATTTCCTTTATTTTCTGTTTTTTTTTTCGATTTTACAATTTTTCATTTGTTCAATTTTTCAAATTTTCAGACTGAATTTTCAGTTCGTCCATTTTGCACTTTCCAGTTTTTGGATTTCCAGTCTTCCGATTTTCCAATTTCTTTAATTTTCAATATTTCTATTTCATAATACATATTTCCTTTTTTTTATTGTTCACTTTTTCGATTCTTAAGATTTTTCAAGTTTTCATTTTGTAATTTTGTTTTTTTATTTTTCATTTTTCAATTTTACAATTATTCGGTTTGCATCAGTTTTTTAATTTGACAATTTTTCAATATTACAGTTTTTCATTTTTCGATTTTTCAGTTTCTCAATTTTTAATTTTTCCCTTTTCCAATTTTTTATTTCCGATTTTTATTTTTCATTTTCCCGATTTTTAATTTTCACTTTTTCGATTTTATATCGTCACAATTTTTCGTTTTTTCATTTCTTTTATTTTTTGTTGTTTCTTTCGATTTTACAATTTTTCGTTTATTCAATTTTTCAAATTTTCAGGTTTTTTTCAATTTTTCTTCAAATTTTCAAGTTTGATTTTCACTTTTTACAATTTTACAATTTATCGACTTCCAAATTTTCCAATTTTTCAATATTACAATTTCTCATTTTTCACATTTTTGATTTTTAATTTTGCCCTTTTTCAATTTTTCAACTCCCCGATTTTTATTTTGCATTTTCCTGATTTTTCTTTTTCATTTTCTCGATTTTATATCGCAATTTTTTGCTTTTTCATTTCCTTAATCTTTTTGTTTCTTTCGATTTTCCAATTTTTCGTTTATTCAATTTTTCAAATTTTCAGGCCAATCGATTCCAATTCGTCGATTTTCCAATTTTTAAATTTTCAGTTTCCACCCCTTTTTTACTTTTGGGATTTTCAATTTTTCGTTGGACTTTGGATTTTTCAAATTTTTGACAGTTTTATACTTCGATTTCTCAATTTTTTTCAACTTTTCGATGTTTTAATTTTTCTTTTTTAAAATTTTTCATTTTTTTTTTATTTCTCCATTCAGATGTTTGGATATTTTGATTGTTCAATTTCTCAATTTATCAATTTCTCAATTTTTTTCTATTTCTCGATGTTTCGATTTTTGGATTTGTCGGTTTTTCAATTTTCCAATTTTTCGATGTTTCGATTTTTCAGTTTTTCGATTTTTAAATTTTAGATTTTTCGATAGAAAGGCCAAAAATTCCAGACTTCTTTAATTGAAAATTTGAAATCGAACAATGGAAAAAACGAAAAATCGAGAAATTGAAACAAAAAAAATTGAAAATTAGAATATCGAAAAATCGAAAATCGAAGTATTGGAAAATTGAAAAACGAAATAACGAAAAGTAAAAAATTGAAAAATCGAAAAACTGAAGAATTGGAGAAGTAAAAAAATTTAAACTGAAGAATGAAAAAATTAATACATAAATCGAAAATTCGATAAATCAAAAATCGAAAAATCGGAAAATAGAAAGATTGAAATTCGAACAATGACTATTGAAAACTCAATAAAATCAAACAATCCAAAAGCAAAAAAATTAAAAAATCGAAAAACCGAAGAATTGAAAAATTGAAAATGGAAAAGTAAAAAAAAAACAAATATCGAATAGCTACAATGAATATCGAAAACTAGAGAAATCAAAAAGTCGAAAAGCAAAACACTGAAAACTCGAAAAACTGAAGAATTGAAAATGGAAAAGTAAAAAAAATCAAATATCGAATGGTCGAAAAATAAAAAAGTAAAAGTCTAAAAATTGAAGAATGAGAAAATTAAGAATTCGTAAATTAAAAAAGTCAAAAATCGAAAATTTGAAAAAAGAAATTATTGAAAAATTAGAAATAGAGAAATGGAAAAAGAAACAAATTGAGAAATCGAAAAATGAAAAAATCGGGGAATCGAGAAAGAATGTAAATTCCCAGATTTCGAAAATTGAAAATTTAAAAAATCAGAAATTCGAGATATCGAAAAACTGAAGAATAAGAAATAAAATTGGTAATCGCAAAATAAAATATGTAATTGGAAAATCGAAAAACTGAAAAAATTAAAAACAGAGTTCAAGCAACCGAAAACGAAAAAAAAAAAAAAGTCTAAAAACTGAAGAATGTAAAAATTGAAAACTCAAAAAAACGAAATATAGAAACAATGAAATTTCGAACAACGAAAAGCGAAAACTCGAGAAATCAAAAAATCGACATGCAAAAATAATGAAAAATTAAAAATGGAAAAGTAAAATAATCAAATATCAAAAAATAAAAAAGTCAAAAATCGAAAATTTGGAAAATCGGAGAATTGAAAGAATGAAAAATAGAGACATCGAAAAAGAAGCAAATTGACAACTCGAATATTGAGAAATCAAAAAATGAAAAATTCGAAAAATCGAAAAATGAATGCGAAATGTAAAGAAATTAAAAAATCCAAAAACTGAAGAAATTAAATACCAAAGTTCAAGAAACCATAAAGTAAAAAAATTTAAAAGACTAAAAACTGAAGAATGTAAAAATTCAAAAATCGAAAACTCGAGAAATCAAAAAACCCACACAAACAAAAAAAAAATGAAAAATCGAAAAAGTGGAGAATAGAAAAATTAAAATTCGATAAGTTAAAAAAAATAGAAAATTTGAATATCGATTAATCGAAAAGCAAAAAAGTTAAAAAGGTCTGTAAACAGTAGAATGGAAACATTGGAAAATCGAAAATTAAAAAAAATTAAATCGAGAAGTCGAAAAGGTAAGGTAAATTTTTCAACTCCCCGATTTTTATTTTGCATTTTCCTGATTTTTTATTTTTCATTTTCTCGATTTTATATCATAATTTTTTGTTTTTTCATTTCCTTAATTTTTGTTGTTTCTTTCGATTTTCCAATTTTTCGTTTATTCAACTTTTCAAATTTTCAGGCCAATCGATTCCAAATTCGTCGATTTTCCAATTTTTAAATTTTTCAGTTTGCAGTTTTTGGGTTTCCACCCCTTTTTTACTTTTTGGATTTTCAATGTTTCGTTAAACTTGAGATTTTTCAAATTTTCGACAGTTTTATACTTCGATTTCTCAATTTTTTTTTCAACTTTTCGATGTTTTCATTTTTCTTTTTTAAAATTTTTCTTTTTTTTTATTTCTGGATTTATCGAATTCAGATGTTTGGATGTTTTGATTGTTCAATTTCTCAATTTTTTTCTATTTCTCGATGTTTCCATTTTTCAATTTTTTTAAATTCTGGAGTCGATTTTTCAGTTTTTTGATTTTCAAGTTTTAGATTTTCGAATTTTTCTTTTTTGATTCTTTGATGTTTGGATTTCTCCATTTTTCAATTTTGCGATATTTCAATTGTTCAATGTTTTAAATTTTAGATTTTTCCATAGAAAGTCAAAAATTCCAGACTTCGGTAATTGAAAATTTGAAATCGAACAATGGAAAAATTGAAAATTAGAATATCGAAAAACCGAAAATTCCAGATTTCCAAAATCGAATATTTGAATAATCAAAAATTCGAGATATCGAAAAATCGAAAAGTAAAAAAATTGAAAAATCGAAAAACTGAAGAATAGGAGAAGTAAAAAAATTTAAACTGAAGAATGAAAAATGAAAATTCGAAAAACTGAAGAATTGAAAATGGAAAAGTAAAAAAAATCAAATATAGAATAGTCGAAAAATAAAAAACTACAAGTCTAAAAATTGAAGAATGAGAAAATTGAGAATTCGTAAATTAAAAAAGGCAAAAATCGAAAATTTGAAAAAAGAGATTATCGAAAAAATTAAAAATAGAGAAATCTAAAAGGAAACAAATTGAAAACTCGAATATTGAGAAATCGAAAAATGAAAAAATCGGGGAATCGAGAAAGAATGTAAATTCCAGATTGCGAAAATTGAAAATTTTAAAAATCAGAAATTCGAGATATCGAAAAATCGAAAATTCTAAAAAATGAAAAGTTGAAATATTGAAATTTCAAGTTACGAAAATCGAAATCTCGAGACATCAAAAAACCGACAAACAAACAAAAAAGTGAAAAATCGAAAAAGTGGAGAATAAAAAAAATTAAAAATCGATAAGTAAAAAAATTAGAAAATTTGAATATCGATTAATCGAAAAGCAAAAAAGTCTAAAAACAGTAGAATGGAAAAATTGGAAAATCGAAAATTAAAAAAGTAAAAAATCCAAAATTTTGAAAAATTGAAGAATAAAAAAAATTTTAATCCAGGAGCCGAAAAGGAAGCGTAAATTTTTCATTTTCTCGATTTTATATCACAATTTTTTGTTTTTTCATTTCCTAATTTTTGTTGTTTCTTTCGATTTTCCAATTTTTCGTTTATTCAATTTTTCAAATTTTCGAGTACAATCGATTCCGGTTCGTCGATTTTCCAATTTTTAAATTTTTCAGTGTGCAGTTTTTGGGTTCCTACCCCTTTTTTACTTTTTGGATTTTCAATTTTTCGTTAAACTTTGGATTTTTCAAATTTTCGACAGTTTTATACTTCGATTTCTCAATTTTTTTTCAACTTTTCGATGTTTTAATTTTTCTTTTTTAAAATTTCTCAATTTTTGTATATTTTTGGATTTCTCGGTTTTTCGATTTTCCAATTTTTCGATGTTTCGATTTTTCAGTTTTTCGAATTTTAAGTTTTAGATTTTCGAATTTTTCTTTTTTGATTCTTTGATTTTTCAATTTTGCAATATTTCAATTGTTCAATGTTTTAAATTTTAGATTTTTCGATTTCTGGATTTTTTGATTTTCCAGTTCTTGAACATTTCTATTTTCCAATTTTTCAAATTTTGACGTTGCTAAATTTTCAGTTTTCCGATTTTGCAATTAATATATTTTTTTTATTTTCCCGTTTCTCGAATTCGCAGTTTCGATTTTTGGATTTTTCAGTTTTCCAATTTTTTAAATTTTCAAGTTTTGACGTTTCTGAATTTTCAGTTTTCCGATTTCTCAATTAATCTATTTTTTGATTTGCCCATTTTCGACTTGCCAAGGTTTCGATTTTTCAGTTTTTCAGTTCCTCAATTTTTCGATTTTTCAGGTTCCAGATTTTTCAGTTTTTCGATTCTTTAGGTTTGCAATTTTTGGATATTTCGTCCAATTTTGTGAGTTTTCTCAGTTTTTCGATTCTTCAATTTTTCAATTTTGGGATTTTTTAGTATTTCGACTTTTGGATTTTCAATTTTTTGTTTTTTGAACGTTCGGTTTTCACAATCTTTCAACTTTTCGATATTTTAAGTTTTCGATTTTTAAAATTTTAGCTTTTTTGATTTCTCGAGTTTTCAGTTCTTCTATCCTTGAATATTTCAATTTTCGAAATTTAAAGTTAATTATAAATTACTTTTTTAAAAGATACATTAGAAGAACAGGAACAAAAACAGAGTAAGATACGGTAATAAAAATACAGGGTGTGATGATTCACTAGATTGGACACAAAAACTTAAAAGAAAAGGTTCAATTATTTTTAAATTTGACATTGTTTGTCATTTATGTTTCGTGAAGTGATAGTAGTTGGACGGAGACCAAATAACGATCGTTTTCAGCTTCTTCTGGCCGACGCTGGCCTTCGGCAGCGTGATGACAGGGATGTACTTAATGATTTTCACCTCGGCCGTGTTCTGGTTGGGCATGTTCCTCATCCCCGCCATAGCCATAATTCCAGATTTCCTCGTCAAAGTGTAAGTACACCCATGGTCCCTCGCTCCACCCCTACGACGACCAATCTTGTCCTTTTTTAGCCGCTTTCCCCGTTTTGTCCTCATTTTCCGGAGTTGGCACCCTGGCACGACGTAAACTCCCGCTAGGTATCCAAAAAGAGCACTAAAGTCGCTTTGTTCGTAGGGTTCATGGCACGGTGTTCAAGTCTCTCACGGACGCTGTTCGCGAGGGGGAGATTCGCAAGACCGGCACCGACGTATTCAGGGGTGAATCCAAGAACTCGTAAGTATCCCATAGATGGCGTTCGGTGTGCACGTGTTGCTACTTACTCGCATTCACTCCTTAGCCAGGGTGGGCGTTTTTCTTTTGTTTTCGTGCACGCAAGCACTGGGGTTGTTTTTTGAACAATTACAATTTGTTTTGTAGTGTGAGGTGTGGTTGTTTTCGACGATGGTGGAGTGGTGGTTTCTCACTTCAGCTCAATCGGTGTATCGTTTTCGCTCGATCATCCCGAAGTGGGTAGAATCATCATCCTCTCACCATCTTTCCCAGTAACGTAGTAGTTTTCTTTCATGACAGCACGGTAACTGGTGTCCGGTGGAAGCCGAACGTGAACACGATCGCTCCGGCTCGGCCTCATCAAGCTTGACTTTAGTTAAGTGTGGATCATTCCGTACTAACCAAGTTCCTCGTTTTTGTATTGGAATTGTTCAAAAAGGACGCACAAAAAGCGCACATTTATTTTCGATTTTTACGATTTACGAAGATGTTTATTTTTGATACGATTTTGTTTGGCAGCTAGAGTACTGATATTTTTGTAAACTTGTACACTTGTAAACGAAACAGAGTAAAATAAAACCGTACTTGATGTTCACTTGTAATGGTTGTTTTATGTTCTATGCCGAAATCTCCATGTTGGTAATAACTGGTTGTTTGTTGCAAGAACAATGCATGCTCTGGAACAGTTCGCCATATGTAAGTATCCGACTACGCATGTCCCCGCATGTCCTCGCCCTGCTTCTACTAACCGTAGCATGCTTGAGTGTTTGCCATAAGCTGTAAGTAGGCCAGAAGCGTTAGTTACGATGGTTGCAGACTCTCGGAGACTGCCCGTTTGCTGAAGAACGTGTTCACTCGCCGCACCCCGCGGATCGACTTGGAGGTCGAGATGTCACGTGAGTATCACCCCGTCACGCGCGAGCTTCTCACTATAACTACACCAAATTCCATTTATTTATAATTGGCCGATGCGTAGCTGCGCAGTCCGGGTAGATCCGGCTCAACTTAATGTGTGTTTTTATCAGATGGGTTCGCTTTTTCGCAAGAAGAGGGCGGTGTGGTGTCCCAGACTGCGGTTATCAGGGCTTACGACACCAACATTCCCAAACCGGACGGGATGTAATTCCACGCTCCGACACAGCCAAAATATGTGCTTTTCTAGCTTGTAAGTGGTCTAGTTTCGTTCGAGGGGTGAAACATACAGGGAGCGCTAATACTTTCGAGCTTACGTCGAGGGACGCTTGTGCCAAAGGGGTGGGGCGAGCTTGTGTATGTTTCATCCGATTTCGTTACAAGTAAGGGGCGCCGGGCGCTTTTTATTTCGGTTTTTTATTGACTGACTGTCTTGGGTCAAGGAGAGAATGGAAAGCGCTCCGGCCCCCAACACGAGTGTGTCAAATTACTACAATCACAGTCTAGGTGAGATTAGTTCTACAATAAGTCACTGTCACGTGCCTTTCTGAATTTAATTTTAGTGATACTAAGTGTAACACTTCACTGGAGAGACTTGAATTTTAGTATTAAGCTAACAAAAGTCTGTACAGATGGGAGACATATTTTCTGCAGTTTTTTTCTACAACTTACTCGATTTAGTCGATTTTTTCTCTCTTTATACATCTTTTTTACTCTGTTGAATTTTTGACTTTTGTTGTTAAACGGATTTCAGAGCCGGACTGGACGTCGTTCCGGCACTGAGTGTATAATAACTTGTAGTTATTGTTGTGATTCTGAATATTAATGTCTGTTAACCGGTTCCAATTTTAAGCGGTTACGTGCTTGTCGGCGCCTGCGCCTTCAATACGTATACGATTGTTCGAAGGGCGAAGCAACTTCAAGTTAATGTTAATCTATATAAACATGTACGCTATACATATTTTAAAGAAGATGTAATAAATGTATATTTATTTAACACATATACAGACTTTCACTTCCACCGATTCTGTTTCAAGTAGTTGCTACCTTCACCCTCGTGCAAGTGAATCAAGTCTTCGTCAATCAACAACTGAAAGTCTCCTAGTGCCTCCTGGCTCGGGATTTTGTTCCAGCGCACGTCGGGCATACCCGACGGCGGCACAATAATCGAAAAAATATTATCCATGAGTTTGTGCTTCAGAATCCTGTCGTTGGCGGTGGTGGACGTCAGACTCGGCGACGCGTTCACCTACAAAACCCAGTTAACTCAAACCAGTGCAGACATGTCAGCACCTCGATCAGCCACGGCTTCAGCTTATTATCAATGATAATATCGTAGCCGTAGCACTCAAAACAGTGCCGATCCGTCGCTATCACCGGCGCCACCGCCTTCAACGAATGAATAATCAACCAGCTGATCTGGTCGAACAACTTCTCCGTCACCTGCTTGCCTCTAGTACTCTCCAAGTGCAAACGCAAGTTCTGGACGCTTAGTTTACCCCCGTGGAGCGAATTGTACTCCCCCTGCAACCAAAACAACGTCAACGCGCATTTTCACTATACATCAGATGGCGCCATCAAACATTAGCAAAGGCAAACACCCTTCACTCTGCTCTTATACGAGGAGTTATCCATAAATCCATAATTAACATTGTTCCGTAAACAGTAATGTGTATAAACATATACGTACAAAATATGAAAATATACTTGACATAAAAAATATGAAGCAACGCGTTGTAACGTGATACGAAAGAATTGAATTTAAATGAATTTGTCGCCTATTTTTATTTGACTATATCTGAAGACTGACAGAAACTTACCAAGGGTTTTTAAACTGGTATAATTGTTTAGTTTTACAAGATTAAAGTAAAACAAGATTTTAAGTAAAATTTAGATTCGTGGTGTTACAAAAGTATTAACACAAAATGAAAATATATATTCAAAGTAAGTAACAGAATGACATAAACTTTCGGCGTTGACATTACAAATAATTACAAGACAGAAAAAAACGCATGAAGAACTTAAGAGGCATGTTTGTAATATCGAGTTGTTAAAGGTTGCTTTGAAGACTGTTTGTTTCAATGAAAATCAGTTGCTGTTATCCGATGTTTTGGTAGATTTTGTTTCAAAAATACGAGACAACTAATTGTTTCTTGAACTAGTTTCCGTAACTTCTAAAATTTAAAAAGGACACGCCGTTCTGCTGTAATAAAATCTAGATTAAGGTCAAAATCACACTAATATGACATCTGATTTTGTTAACCACATGAATATAATTTACATTAAAATAAGTTACAGACATTGTTTGAAATGTTTATTATATTTTTTTAGTTTTCACCTTAGACATCAAGATTTTTGGAAAAAAATCAACATTTTCCAATTTATAATGTTATTTAAATTTTAAAAAGTAGCATAGTCCTGATTTATAAATACGCTATTGGGATTTTTCGGCTTGTCGATTTCTCGATTTTTCAACTTTAAATCTCTCAGTTTTTCAATATTTCAATTTTGGGTTTCTCCGATTCTTCCATTCTTCAAATTTTCTATTTCTCGATTTTTTTATTTTTCGATTTCTCAGTCTTTCGATGTTTCAATGATACGATTTCTCAATTTTTGTCCTCTTCAATTTTACGGTTTTTAAATATTTCGATTTTTCAATTTTTCAAATTTTCACGTTTCTAAATTTATTATTTTCTATTTTTTTATATTCCCATTTCTCCACTTCCTAAAGTTTCGATTTTTCACACCTTCAATTCTTCAATTTTTTAAGATTACGATTTTTCGATTTTGCTGTTTTAGATTTTCGATTTCTCAATTTTCCAATTTTTTAATTTCTCAATTTTTTGAATATTTCTTTCAGTTATGAGATTTTTCAATATTTCAATTTTTCGACTTTTCGATTTTTGAATTGATGGATTTTTTTGATTTCTCGATTTTTTACGTTTTGGATTTTCAATTTATTGTAAACTTTAGATTTTTCAATTCTGCGACTGTTTAATGCTTCGATTTCTCAATTTTTCAACTTTTCGATGTTTTAATGTTTCATTTTTTAAAATTCTAGGTTTTTCGATATCTCGAGTTTCCAATTCTTCTATATTTCAATTTTTCAATTTTTCGATTTTTTTAATTTTAATTTTCGATTTTCCAGTTTTTCTTTTTTAAAATTTTTCGATTATTCAATTTTTTAATTTCTCAATTTATCGAATTCAGATGTTTCGTGGTTTTGATTGTTCAATTTCTCAATTTTTCAATTTTTAACTTTCCTTTTCGGCTTCCGACTCCTCAATTTCTCGATCCTCCGATTTTTCGATTTCTCGAAGTCTCAGTTTTTGAATTTTTCGATGTTCAGATTTTTGGATTTCTCGGTTTTTCGATTTTTTTCTTTTGAGCTTTTCAATTTCTGGATTTTCCAATTTTTCAATGTCCCGATTTTCCAATTTTTCAAATTGAATTGGATTTCCCGATTCTTCCATTTTGCGATATTTTAATTTTTCAATGTTTTAAATTTTAGATTTTTCGATTTCTCGATTTTTGACTTTTCAGTTCTTCAGTATTTAAATTTTTCAATTTTTCAAATTTTTGCGTTAAATTTTCAGTTTTCTGATTTCTCAATTAATCTATTTTTAATTTTCCCACTTCTCAAAATTTCGATTTTTCAGTTCTTCAATTCTTCGATTTTTCGACTTCGCTTTACTGGTTTTTAGATTTCTCAATTTTTGGATATTTCTTTCAGTTTTGATATTTTTCAATACTTCGATTCTTTGATTTTTCGACTTCTAGATTTTTCTATTTTTTATTTTTGGATTTTCAGTTTTTCGCTTTTTATATGTACTTTAGATTTTTTACATTTCAATTTCTCAATTTTTCAACTTTTCCATATTTTAATTTTTAAATTTCTATATTTTTCGGTTTCTCGAGTTTCCACTTCTATATTTTAATTCTCCAAATTTCCGAATTTTTAAATTTTTTGAGGTCTCAATTTATTGAGATTCGGATGTTTCGATGTTTTGATTATTCAATCTCTCGCTTTATCAATTTTTCCATATTTAAGTTTTCGATTTTTCGAGTTCTCGATTGTTCGACTCCTCGATTTTTTTGTCTTTTGATTTTTCGATTTCTCGATGTCTCAATTTTTGAATTTTACAATGTTTCGATTTTTCGATTTGTTGGTTTTTCGATTTTTTGCTCCTCGGTTTCTCGATTTTTCGATGTTTCGATTTTTGATTTATCCGATATTTCAATTTTCCAATTCTTCAAATTTTCTATTTCTCGATTTTTTTATTTTTCGATTTCTCAATCTTTCGATGTTTCAATGATACGATTTCTCAATTTTGTCCTCTTCAATTTTACGGTTTTTAAATATTTCGATTTTTCAATTTTTCAAATTTTCACGTTTCTAAATTTTCAGTTTGCCGATTTCTAAAGTATTTTTTTTTATTTGCCCATTTCTGGACTTCCTAAAGTTTCGATTTTTCACACCTTCAATTCTTCAATTTTTCGATTTTTTAAGATTACGATTTTTCGATTTTGCTGTTTTAGATTTTCGATTTTTCAATTTTCCAATTTTTTAATTTCTCAATGTTTTGAATATTTCTTTCAGTTATGAGATTTTTCAATATTTCAATTTTTCGACTTTTCGATTTTTGAATTGATGGATTTTTTTTGATTTCTCGATTTTTTACTTTTTGGAATTTTCAATTTATTATAAACTTTAGATTTTTCAATTCTGCGACTGTTTAATGCTTCGATTTCTCAATTTTTCAACTTTTCGATGTTTTAATATTCCATTTTTTAAAATTCTAGGTTTTTCGATATCTCGAGTTTTCAATTCTTCTACATTTCAGTTTTTAATTTATTTAATTTTAATTTTCGATTTTCCAGTTTTTCTTTTTTTAAATTTTTCGATTATTCAATTTTTTAATTTCTCAATTTATCGAATTCAGATGTTTCGTGGTTTTGATTGTTCAATTTCTCAATTTTTCAATTTTTAACTTTCCTTTTCGGCTTCCGACTCCTCAATTTCTCGATCCTCCGATTTTTCGATTTCTCGAAGTCTCAGTTTTTGAATTTTTCGATGTTTAGATTTTTGGATTTCTCGGTTTTTCGATTTTTTTCTTTTAAGCTTTTCAATTTCTGGATTTTCCAATTTTTCAATGTCCCGATTTTTCAATTTTTCAAATTGAATTGGATTTCTCGATTCTTCAATTTTGCGATATTTTAATTATTCAATGTTTTAAATTTTAGATTTTTCGATTTCCCGATTTTTGACTTTTCAGTTCTTTCGTATTTAAATTTTTCAATTTTTCAAATTTCTGCGTCAAATTTTCAGTTTTCTGATTTCTCAATTAATGTATTTTTGATTTTCCCACTTCTCAAAGTTTCGATTTTTCAGTTCTTCAATTCTTCGATTTTTCGACTTCGCTTTATTGGTTTTTAGATTTCTCAACATTTGGATATTTCTTTCAGTTTTGATATTTTTCAATACTTCGATTCTTTGATTTTTCGACTTCTAGATTTTTCTATTTTTTATTTTTGGATTTTCAGTTTTTCGCTTTTTATATGTACTCAATTTTTCCATATTTAAGTTTTCGATTTTTCGATTCTTTTGTCTTTTGATTTTTCGATTCCTCGATGTCTCACTTTTTGAATTTTACAATGTTTCGATTTTTCGATGTTTCGATTTTTGATTTATCCGATATTTCAATTTTCCAATTTTTTAAATTTTCAACTTCTCGATTCGTTGATTTTTCAGTTTTTCGAGTTTCGAATTTTTATTTTTTTGAATTTTCGATGTTTGGATTTCTCCATTTTTCAGTTTTAGGATATTTTAACTTTTCAATGTTTTAAATGTTAGATTTTTAGATTTTTCAGTTCTTCTTAATATTTTTTTATTTTTCAAATTTGGCGTTTCTGAATTTCTAGTTTTCGGATTTCTCAAGTAATCTATTTTTTTATATTCCCATTTCTCCACTTCCTAAAGTTTCGATTTTTCAGTTCTTCAGCTCTTCAATTTTTCGATTATTCAGGTTTTTGATTTTTCAATTTTTAGATTTTTTAAGTTTGCGATTTTTCGACTCTGCTTTTTTGACTTTTCTGTTTCCCAATTTTTTAATTTCCTAATTTTTGGATATTTCGTTCAATTTTGTGATTTTTCAGTTTTTCGATTCCCCAATTTTAACTTTTCAATTTTTAAATTATTGATTTTTTTCGATTTTTTGAGTTTTCAGTTCTTCTATATTTCAGTTTTTCAATTTTCGGAATTTTTAAATTTTCGATTGTCCAATTTTTTTTCGATTTTCCAATTTTCGATGTTTCGGTTTTTGAATTAACCGACTGTTCAATTTCTCGATTTTTAAATTTTAGATTTTCCAATTTTCCCATATTTGAATTTTCCAATGTTTTAAATTTTCGATTTCGCGGATTTACTGTGTTACAGTAGAATAGTCATCAGTCATTACTCATCAAGAACGATTATTGCTGTGCGTTAAAATGCCTACATATTGATAAGCACGTACATACAAGAC